TTTTTTATGAGGTTCTTTAGTCCATCACATGCTGGGGTACAACACAAATTGACTGAGCACTGACACCCACACTAACAGATCTCAAATCACAGTAAAACTTGGCAAAGCTGCTGTTTCTGCTCGTCCATGGATCCAGGTGTCCTTGAGTCCCTCTGGCTGCAGTGACTGAGCTGTGACACCAGACCAGCCTGGGAGGGTCTCAGAGCCTGGGATGCTGTGGTACCTTGGTCATCCCAGGGATAAAGCTGTTCTTTATCCCCCAGGGACTGCTCTAAGCCTCCAAAAGCAAAATCCTTCTCTTCAGGGCCAGCCTGTTTGTTTCACTTCACCACAAACAATCCCAAAGTCTTCAATAACACTCAACTGCTTCTTTACATCAGTGTTTAATTAATACATATAGTATATGTAAAGTTAATATACTTTTGCCCTATAAAGGATATTTGACAGTTAGAAAAGCGATTTTTCATCACATTTATCAAGCCTGTCACACACCTGGGCTTCCATCAGCACCAGCAGGCTGCTGCTCCTTTCTGTCACCATCCATCCCCCAAGTAGCCCCCGCTCATCATATCAGCCAGCAGAGAATGAAACATCTCATGCCTCAAACATTAATAGCTTTTTCTCATTATAACAAGAACTGTATAAAGGAGCTACTAGAAAAGAAACCTCCCTGAAGATGCCTGACTAGGACTTTGGACTGAAAGTCAAACTGCTGAGATTAGATAAAGGGAAAACCCTGTCACAGCACATGTCACAGTTGAGATGGCCACAATACACAGAGCATCACCACACAGTTTCAGAAAGCTTCAACCCAAACAGAGCTTACACCTTACTGTTGTAGTGCGTTCTTATATTTTGTAATACTTTGAAGTAGTTGGTTTTGTATTCCCATGTTTTTCCCAAATGGTTTATCCCAGACTGTACCCCCCCCCCTCCTTTTCCCTCTACTTGTGTTATCCCTTTCCCGGGATAAGATCTCCAAAACCCCCACCCTGGCTCTCTGCCAGTCACCTCGACATCCCATCCCCCTATCCAGAAGTTTCGGTCCAAGTTGTCGAGTGATTAGCCAGAGGCTAGGGGTCAGCCCCCCAAGTCCTGCCCCATACGCTGTTTTGTATGTCTATCCCCCCAGCACCCATCCCCCAGAGATACCTATTGGTCAGTAGGATTTTATCTATGTTAGTTTCCTCCCCCCTTTAAATGTGAGCTCCGGACATCCCCCAGGGCTCTCGGCAGGCGACCCCTGGGGTATAGGAGCTCCCTCGGGACTCCTTAATAAAACCTTGGAATATCCCCTGCTGGGAGTCGGCCCCTTTCCTCTTCCACCGACGTCTCTTGTCGTCTCTGCTGCAGCAAAGGCAGCCAGCCTGAGTGCCCTCAGCACCCTCGGGGCACAGAGAGTGTCTCCCTGCAGTCGGCCGTGGTGGGGCTGCACCCCCCACTCTCTGCCGACCCGGGTAAGGCCCAGGGACTTGAGAGGCTTGCAGAGAGACTGGGACACCTTACCTCATCAGAAGGCTGCAAGCTCTGCCCTCCTTGTTCTTTAGCCCAGCCTTTTATCCCCTGCTGTTGATGCCCTGCACCTGTGTGCCCTCTGCTCCCTTTGGTGGTTGGGCAGTGCCCCTGGGCACTCCATGGCTCATTGCTGTCAGTGCTGCTCACAGCTGTGCCCATTGGGGATGAGGCTCAGCCCCACTCCCAATCACCACAAACTTCCAAAACCCATTCCTCAATCACCTGAAACAAACAAGTAAACAAGGAAAAGAATGTGAGCCAGCCCCAGCAGCTGTGCTAAGAATCATCTCTGGCTTTCTTTGGGATGGGGGAAGCCATAGCCCACAGACTCATTTGCTGGGAGTGGGTTTGCACAGATTTCTCCCCCAGCTGAGGTGGAGGAAGAAGTTTGGGTGTGCTGTGACCTCAGGGGTGAACCCATCCATCCTCCCTTACACAGATTGCTGTGGAACCCCCAGTCCCAGGAGGGCCACATCCACAGGACATTCATATGAGAGGCAGCTGAGGTTAATTAATCCATTAATCCATCAAAGGCCCCACCAAGTCATCCCTGAAGCCTTGCACCACAGGGCTGCGTGGGATGCAACAAACCCAAAATCTGTTGTGAGAGACAACGGCAAACTCCCCCTGCCACCCCACCCTTCCCCCGGGGAATTACCAGGATTTTCCTACCTGGCTTGAGCATATATTAAACCACTGAATTCTATGCTTTTTGGAGGGGACCTTCACCACCAAGACAACCAGCAGGAGAGGATCAACAGAACATCACTGAGATTCACAGAGTGCTGATATTTTCCTTATTCTGTCCCTCTTTCTATCCCCCACCATCTATTTCTTATTTCTTTATTTCCCATATGGGGTTAACTTAACAAACAAACCCCATACCATTGTCACTGACCTATGTGACAGTGACATTTGCACTTCTGACAACCTCAATAACCCCATCCCGACATCTGCCCCGAGGGGTTTGGGTGCAGCGAGCCCTGCCTGGGGCTGGGGGCAGCGGGGCTCGCTGCGGGCACTGCCAGGGTGACTCAGCCTCTCCAGCAAGCTCGGGACCGCCTGGGCTCTGCGGCTCCCCGGCACGGATCGCTCCTGCAGCCTGATTTGCTGGGAAGCTGCCAGCGGCTGCCGCCTCCTCCTCTCTGCAGGCAGCTCTGCCCCGCTCCCCGCCGCTGCCTCCGGTGACAGAATGACAAAATGACCCGGCGGAGCGGAGGGACACGGCGCTGAATCGCTGTGGGGACGCGGAGCGCAGAGCCGGGGATGCGGCCGGAGGATGCGGCACGAAAGGTACGGGCAGCGCGGCGGGGTGTGCCGGGGAGGGGCAGGAACTGGGGCACTTTGCAGGGGTTTAGGAGCACGGGCAGTTTTCGGGGAGGCAGGATCAGGGGCAGTTTTCAAGGGGTTTAGAAACAGGGGCAGTTTTCAGGGGGTTTAGGAACAGGGGCAGTTTTTGAGGTGGGAAGCATCACAGGCAGTTTTCAGGGGGTTTAGGAACAGGGGCAGTTTTTGAGGTGGGAAGCATCACAGGCAGTTTTCAGGGGGTTTAGGAACAGGGGCAGTTTTTGGGATGGGAAGCATCACAGGCAGTTTTCAGGGGGTTTAGGATCACAGGCGCTTTTCGGGGTTGGCAGGATTATACCAGCAGTTTTCATGGGGGTAGGGGCAGTTTTCAGCGGGGGCAGAATCAGGGGCAGTTTTCAAGGGCTTTAGGATCACGGGCAATTTTCGGGGGGCGGGGCAGGAGCAGGGGCAGTTTTCAGGGGGTTTAGGAGCACGGGCAGTTTTTGGGGGGGTAGAATCTGAGGCAGTTTTTGGGGGGGCAGTTTTCAGGGGGTTTAGGAACAGGGGCAGTTTTCGGGGTGGGAAGCATCACAGGCAGTTTTCAGTGGGCTTAGGATCACAGGCGCTTTTCGGGGTTGGCAGGATTATACCGGCAGTTTTCAGCGGGGGCAGAATCAGGGGCAGTTTTCAGGGGACAGGAGCAGAGGGGCAGTCTTTGGGGGGTTTAGGATCACAGGCAGTTTTCGGGGGGGGCAGGATGGGGGCAGTTTTCAGGGGGTTTGGGAGCACAGGCAGTTTTCAGTGGGGGCAGGATCAGGAGCAGTTTTTAGGGGGTTTAGGCTCAGGGGCAGTTTTCAGCCTTGCACTCCATCCTGCTGGGTGCTGTGGCCACCCCATGCGACCCAGGGCTGACCCGACCCCTCAAGCTGGGGGGCAGACAGTGTGTGCCACGGGAGGGGCTCTGTCCTTGTCCCCAAGCCCCTAAGGACAGGAATTCCAGGTGCTGGAGGATGGACAGGTATTCCAGGTGCTGGAGCCCTTCCTGCATGGGCTTATGAGCTGTTTGTGGCCATGCCCCAAGCCCCACGAGCCTGTGTGCCTTGTGGGGCCATGGACAAGAATTAGGAGTGCATTTGACCTTATTTCAACTGCTCTTTCTCCAAAAATCAGATCTGCTGGGGGTTGTGCTGATGCAGAAATCCAGCCTGCCAAAATCTGCCTCCCAAGGTCAGTGGGGCTGTGGGAGATCCCAGGAGGGAGGCTGATAAAAGAGCTTTTCATTGCTACTCCATGATTTAGCATCAGCACTCCTTTTTCCCACAAGGACTCCCCACCCCTGGGTGAAATGCAGGATGTGGCTTGAAGAAAGCAGAAAAAATCCTCCTTAAAAACAGACCCCACAGCTTGACCAGAGCATCACCTGAGCCTGGTGCTTCCTCCATTACCTAATCCCAGCTCTCCTGAGAGGACACCACCCCCTTGGGCTCCAGAGACCCCAGGAGCATTTCCACCTTTGCTCCAGCAGCTCTCCCATCTCAGCAAAGGAGACTGTGGGTGTTCAGGGGGGCTCAGGAGTTTTGCAGCAAGCCCATGTGCATCTTGGGGCTCTCAGGGGACCTTTGCAGGGGACACAGGACTCCAGCACCGGGTCCCTGCAGCCTTCATGTCCATATCCCCAGATTTTCCATGCAGGGCCATGCTCAGGCTGCTCACACAAGAGACCTAGTTTCTGCTCTCCCTGCTGCCAGAAATATCCCAGCTGCCTGCAGTGGAGAGCAGGTGAGAGAGCCACAGGCTGGGGCACTTTGTGGGCATTGAGGGGCTTCCCTGGGGAGGAGCGGTGCATGCTGTGGTCACCACACACAACCCTGTGTCAGGATTGTGCTGAGGAGATGGCAGGTGGACCAATTTCCACCCTGGCAATGATGATGGATGGAGCACCTCAGTGCTCTTAGCTCATGGGCATCCTTTATTTCTTTGAAGGCCAGGTTGAATGGGGCTTGGAGAAACCTGCTCTAGAGGAGGGTGTCCCTTCCCTTGGCAGGGGGGTGAAAGGAGATGAAATTTAAGACCACTCCCCATCCAAAGCATTCTGGGATTCTCTGATTCTCTTCCACTGCCCTCAGGATGGGGATGTTGAGGAGCTCCCAGCCTAGGAACAGGAGAAAGGAGGCAGAGAAGGCCAAGCCACAGGAGCCATGTCAGCGCGCGGCCGCTGCGCCCGGGTGCTCCCCTCCGAGCTGAACAAGGTGTGCCCCGAGAGAGGAGATGAGCCTGCCACGCACCCCAGCAGGATGAGCGACTTCGAGGTGGTCCCCAACCTGCAGCAGAGCAGCAGCAGTGTCTCCAGGAGCAGGAGAAAGGCTCATTTCCCCGCTGGCAGCAATGAAAAGGCAAGTTCAGGAGGTGCTGGAAGAGGGGGCGGTTGGGCACACGCATGAAACAGCATTAATGAGTGGCTCACTTACAGGAGCATTAATAACTGATCAGGTTGGTTTTAGGGACAGACAGAAAACCTGCAGACGCCTGAGGCACATGGCCAGCACTCATATCCCTCCTCCTTGGAGTGCATCTGGCTTTGTGCTTGCAGACAGCGGTGAAGCTTTCATCCTTCACACCCCAAGGAGCGCCCAGATGTGCTCCCATCCCCATGGTGTCTGACCCCTGGAATAACTTCTGGCCCTTTCCAGAAACCCTGACCCCTGGCTGCTTTTCTTGCTCCACCAGGAAAATCTCATCTCCTGGATTCCTGAAAACATCCGAAAGAAGGAATGCACCTATTTTGTGGAAAGCTCCCAGACATCAGATTCTGGGTAAGTGAGGCACTCCCTCCTTCCCTCCCCTGCAGGAGAGCAGAAGTGAGGGTTGGTGATAAAGCTACAGCACCAGAAAATCCCGGCTTTCTGTCACAGGGATTCAAAACCCTCTTTTTAACTGGTTCTTCAGCATGAGGTGAGTCACCACGTGGCTGAGATTCGTGTCCCGGGGAAAAACATTTCCAATGCTTTTGCAGGCAGTCATTTCCACCCTAAATATTTCCGTCCTAAATATCTACCCATGGAAATATTTGGATTTTTTCCTTTAATTTCCCCCCAAACATTGCCCTTGTTTCTGCACAAGTTCTGAGCTGGAGGAGCAGCTGGGTGGGAGATGTGGGGTCTGTGATATTCCTGAGGAGAACAGCACCTCCTTCCCAGGCTGAGGCCGGGCTTTGCCTTTGGGGTTTCTCCATGGAGCTGTTGGTGTGTTTTTCAGGAGGATCGTTTGTGAGTGTGGCTATCTCAGGGAACAGCACCTGGATGATGCTGCCAAACCTCCCATCTTCCTGGGGAAGGAATGGGACCCCAGCAGGCACATCCAGGAAATGCCAACGGATGCCTTCGGTGATATCCGCTTCACAGGGCTGGGACAGAAGACAGGGAAGGTGAGCTGCTTGTCCCCCTGTGGGTGTGTGGGGAGCCAGTGCTTGGGTCAGTGAAGAGCTCATAGGTGTTGTGGAAGAGGACACTCAGTTTGCTCTGGATCAGGGCGATGGTTATCTTGGCCATGGGCAGGTTGGCCACCTGCACGATGACGTGGGAGATGGCACAGGAACATTTCCCTCCTGAGTGAGAGGACATTGGGAAGGGCTGGAATTGCCCCAAAGGCAACCGTGACTCAAGCAGTGGAGGGGCTGAGACAGGACCCCTCCTCCCAGCCTTAAACCCTTTCTGAAGCCACAAGACTCGTGATTCCAGGAGGGGCTGTTCCCTGTCCTTGACCTCAGATTTGTCTGGGGAGTGTTTGTTGCAAAGAAAGCGAACAGGAATAGGGTCATGGATAAAGACCTGGACCAGCAGCAGCAGGACTCTGCTGTGGAACGGTGTTGGGAAGCCTCTGGGGTGGGACAGGAGGAATTGTGTTGGAGGAGGTGTCCTGTTACCCTGACCCTGTTGTTTATACCCAAAATGTGTTTATGGTCCCTTTGTCTGCAGTACGTGCGTGTCTCCTCGGATACCCCCCCAAGGGTCATCTACCACCTCATGACACAGCACTGGGGCCTCGACCCCCCCAACCTGCTCATCTCAGTCACTGGGGGAGCCAAAAACTTCGTCATGAAGCCAAGGCTGAAGAACATCTTCCGGCAAGGGCTGGTCAAGGTGGCCCAGACCACAGGTAAGAGACTTCAGAATAATCAAATTGCAGAATCATAGAATAGTTTGGGTTGAAAGGGACTTTTAGAGGTCATCTGGATGCAGAGGGTCTGTGGTGGTGTCCACAGGGGTCCCAGGAAGAGGGAAGAGATGAGGATCTGACTCCATGTTTCAGAAGGCTAATTTATTATATTATGACATATATATATTATATTAAAACTATACTAAAAGAATAGAAGAAAGGAATTCATCAGAAGGCTTGAAAGGAAAGATAATAGAAAGATAACAAAAGCTTGTGACTCTCAGAGAGTCTGAGACAGCTGGACTGTGTTTGGCCATTAATTAGAAGCAACCCCATGAGACCAATCCCAGATGCACCTGTTGCATTCCACAGCAGCAGATAACCATTGGTTACATTTTGTTCCTGAGGCCTCTCAGCTTCTCAGGAGGAAAAATCCTAAGGAAAGGATTTTTCATAAAATGTGTCTGTGACAAGGGTCTCCCTGTGGTTGTACCTGGCCAGGCCAGGTTCAGTAAGCTGGGCTGTTCTGGTGATGCTGAGCTGCTTTAGGAGCCCTGTAGGTCCTACCTGGACCATGAGCACCAGGGATGGGCTGCTCCTTCTCAGCCACTGCAAAGAGGCTCAGAGAGGTGCTGAAGAAGGCATTGCCTGTGCTGCCAGGGCAGGGAAGAGACATCTTGTGTGGGATGGAGCACCCCAGGGACCCACAGCCACACGGGGGAGGCTGGGAGATCTCTGTGGGCAGAGCCTCTCCCTTCCCATGGCCCTCTGTGACCCCCAGGAGCCTGGATCATCACAGGGGGGTCCCACGCTGGTGTGATGAAACAGGTGGGAGAGGCAGTGCGGGACTTCATGCTGAGCTGCAGCCACAAGGAGGGCGACATTGTCACCATTGGCATTGCCACCTGGGGGACCGTGTACAACCGCGAGAGCCTCGTCTGCCCCATGGTGAGCCAGGCAGCCCAGGAAAACCCAGCTGTGCCACAAGGGATGCCCACAGAACTCCAGAATGGGTTGGGTTGGAAGGAACCGTATGGCTCACCTTGTTCCACCCTCTGCCATGGGCAGGGAACCTTTGCTTAGACCAGGATGCTCCAAGAGCCACCCAGCCTGGCCTTGAACTCTTCCAGGGATGGTCCCAGGCTGACATTTGCTGAGAAGCCCCCCTCACCCTGCCCAGTGGTTCTGTGCTTCTCCTGGGTGGACTCTTGTGGGTGTGAGGGCCAGTGGAGCATGGGGCAAGGCTGATGTGAGCACTGTGGGGGCACAGGGACAGTTTGGCCAGACTGTCCCCACGTGCTGGTTACCTTGGCTATCTGCTGCTCCTCTGCCAGGCTCCTCCCAGAGCGTCTCCTCCTGCACCTTACAGGGGGGCTTTCCTGCTGAGTACGTGCTGGATGAGGAGAACCAGGGCAGCCTGTCCTGCCTGGACAGCAACCACTCCCACTTCATCCTGGTGGATGACGGGACCCACGGGAGGTACGGGGTGGAAATCCCCCTGAGGACCAGGCTGGAGAAGTTCATTTCAGAGCAGACCAAGGTGAAAGGAGGTAATGGCAGCACACAGCCTGGCCTGAGGCAGGGATGGGCCATCCCCCTGGAATGGTGTCCTTCCTGGGCTCCAGCAAGGGACTGTGGCTTCCCCAGAGGATCCAGGCACAGGGTCTGAGAGGATTGCCATGATAAATGTGGAACCTGGTTCCTCCGTGACACAGAGCAAAGAACCTTTCTCTGCCAGACTTATGGGATCACTAAAGGAGGCCCCAAACCTTGTGATGCTGAGTTGTTCAGGGAAAGTCATTTCTCCCAGAGGGCCAGGTCCCAGTGGAGCTTCCAGGTGTCATCCTCTCACTGTGCAGATGATCTCCTGCCATAACACAGGCATGCCTGTGCTCACAGAACCCCAGAACCCCCTGAGCTGGAAGAGACCCTCAAGAATCCTCTAGTCCAACTCCTGGCCTTGCACAGAACACCCCCAAAAATCCCATCATGTCTCTGACCTGCCATGCCAGACAAACACTGGGCATGGTTTTCCTCCCCTCCCCTGAAGCCTGACATGTCGGGGACACTGCTCCCACTTTGCCTTCTGCACTCCAGCACTCAGAGGAGACCACACGGGGGGATCAGTCCTATGGGAAGGTCACCCTGGACTTGCTTCCCTGCAGGTGTTGCCATCAAGATCCCCATCGTGTGTGTGGTGCTGGAAGGAGGCCCTGGGACTCTTGATGTAAGGAACTGCTTGTGGCAAGCTGAGGGAGAAGGCAAAGGAGGGACAGCTCCTTCCCGGGGTGCTGCTCCTGTTGGTGCTGCGCTGACAGGAGGGCTGGGAGCAGCAGAGGGTCCCAGCTCAGACAGGGCCTGCAGGTGTCTGGTGGGGATCCTGACCAAGCTGCCTGCTCTGCTGCAGACCATCTACAATGCCATCACCCACGGGACCCCCTGTGTGATCGTGGAAGGGTCGGGGCGCGTGGCCGATGTCATCGCGCAGGTGGCCAACCTGCCCGTGGCCAAGATCACCATCGCCCTGATCCAGAGCAAGCTCAGTGTCCTCTTCCAGGACACCTACGAGCTCTTCACTGAGAGCAAACTGGTGGAGTGGACCAAGAAGGTGAGTCCCTTGCAGCCTCCTCTGGGCTTTGGGAGCCCAAAGAGCTCCCAGGGTCATGCCCTATGAGCAGCAAGGGTCCCAGTGGGGAGTTTAAGCCTCATCTGCCCCCAGCCACCCTCCTCATTGTCCTGGTGGGCACTCCAAGGGCTCAGGCTCCCTTTGGGCACAGAAGGAGTGTTTGTGACCCGCCCATGGTGGAGGACACAGCACAGGGGTTCTGCAGGAGTGGAGGGCAGTGAGGAATTGCCCAGCACAGTGGGGAGCAGCAGGGAGGAGATGCTGCTGCCCACTGCTTGCCAACGGCTCTCCTTGTAGATCCAAGACATAGTGCGGAGCCGGCAGCTCCTGACCATCTTCAGAGAGGGCAAATATGGCCAGCAGGACGTGGATGTGGCCATCCTCCAGGCCCTCTTCAAAGGTGAGGGCTGGGGCCTCCCTGGGAGGGTGGGGCAGGGTGAGCAGGACAGGCCTCAAGTCACCTCCTACCTCTGCTTGACTCATGGGGTCACCAAAGAAGTCCCCAAACCTTGTTACTGGGGAGAGATGATTATCCAAAGGGCCACACGTCCAAGGAGGCCCCCAGGTGGTATCTTCTCACTGGGTGATGCTCTGTTCTAACCCGTGCACTTTGCATGCAGCATCCCGAAACCAGGACCACTTTGGTCGGGAGAACTGGGACCACCAGCTGAAGCTGGCCGTGGCCTGGAACAGGGTGGACATTGCCCGAAGTGAGATCTTCACAGATGACCACGACTGGAAGGTAGGACCACGCCTGTGCTGCTTGTCTGGTCAGGCTTACAGCTTGTCAGGCACTTCTCACCTTGGCTGTGGGAGAGTTTTCAAGGGGTTTCTCTTGGACCCTGAACTCCCAGTGCATTAACTGGGGCTGTTCTTCAAAAAATGCTCTCAAACACCCAGGGCAGAGCTAAACACACACAAAGGCAATTGGTATTTTTGTTCAAAACCAGTGTTTTTAAAGATCCCACCCAGAACATAAAATACCTCTTGAGAGCTCTGCCCTGTGGTCCCTGCTCAAACAGCAATTTGTCTCTAAAGTCATCTCACCCAGCCTGGTGTTTCCCTGCTCATACCTTACTACAGAGTGGGGCAGGGGCCAGCTCTGCCATCCCTGCCTGATCCTGCTGTTGAGAAGCCAAGGCTGAGCAGTGTTTTCTGTCCTTCCTGATGGGGCTATGGAACTTGGAAGGGATTTTCCTATTGCAGTCAACAGTTTGGGTTCCCCCAGCTCACACACCTTTGGTGAGACTGGGAAGGGCTGGTGGGAGCTGGGACCCCAAAAGTGAAACATTGGAGGATATATGCCCCAAATGTTGAAGGTCAAGCTGGCAACCTGGACACCTGCAAGGCGTCCCTGCCCCTGGCAGGGGATTGGAATGAGATGAGCTCCCAACCCAAACTGTTCTGTGATTCTGTGATGTTCCTGAATTTGGGATAGGTGGTCTCTACCCTGCCCATCCCTCTGCCCAGCAGCCAAGGGGGCAGAGGGCTCCACTGCCACAGAGGAGTGCCCTCTTCTAACACCCTGGGAAGATCCCACAAGTTTTAGTGCATGCCACGTGCTCTTTCACACCCAGAGACTCCTCCTGTGCTCAGGGACAAAACCTCCCCCCCAAGTGAGGAGCACGGTAGGGTGCTGCTCTGAGACCAGGGAGCCCTCACCTCTGCCTCTGGCCTGCCAGCCCTCAGATCTCCACCCCGTGATGGCAGCTGCCCTGATTTCCAACAAACCCGAGTTTGTGAAGCTGTTCCTGGAGCAGGGAGTGCGCCTCAAGGATTTTGTCACCTGGGACACCCTGGTTTACCTCTACGACAACCTGGCGCCGTCCTGCCTGTTCCACAGCAAGCTGCAGAAGGTGCTGCTGGAGGAGAGGGAGCACACGGCCGGCTCCAAGGTGCCGAGGCTGCAGATGCACCACGTCTCGCAGGTGCTGCGGGAGCTGCTGGGCTGCTCCACGCAGCCGCTCTACCCCAAGCCCAAGCAGGCGGAGCGGCCCCGGCTCTCCATCCCCGTGCCGCACATCAAGCTGAACGTACGCATCTCAGGTTACCGCCGGGGAGGGGAGGGACACCTCCTCCGGGTCTCTGTCCTCCTGTCTGCTCAAAAATGGTACTAAAAGTGCCCTTTAGTCGTCTAAAAGGGGCAGCTCCCAACAGCTGTAGCACTGTGTGGATGCGCGATGCTGGTGGGGTGGGTGCACGGTGGATGCACAGATCCACCCGATCCCACTAGAAAAAGGGAAAATCCCGGGATTGATCCAGTCCTGGCCACCCCTGTAGCTGGGCAAAGCCCTTTGCATGGGTGGTGGAGGCAGCAGCAGGGGTTTGAGCATGGCACACCTTGCAGGTGCAGGGCTCCAGCCTCAGGTCCCTCTACAAGCGCTCTCCTGGCCGAGTCACCTTCACCATGGACCCCGTGCGGGACCTGCTCATCTGGGCCGTGGTGCAGAACCGCAGGGAGCTGGCAGAAATCATCTGGGCACAGGTACTGTACGAGCCAGGGGGGTGGGACAGACAGAGAGCAGAGATCTCTGAAGCCAGGACAGGAACTTGGGGTTCATTGCAAAGGGCCTGGGTGCAGGGCCCTGCTGGGAGCTGCCAGGCACAGCTCAGAGCAGGACTGAGAGAGGATGAGAGGGAAAGAGAGTAGGAGCATACAAGAGTAAAAGGGGTAAGACCGTAAAAGAGGCAAGAGAGCAAAAGCATAAGAGAATAAAAGGGGTAAGAGAGTAAAAGGCAAGAGAGCAAGGTTCCCCTTACAATACAATAGATCTTGTCCTGTGTTGAATATTCTGATTCTCACTAACCAATCTAGCACAATATACAAATCCTATAGCATTTACATACAGCCTATAGGAATCACTACATTACCATACTGTGTTACATTTTAAACCCTACAAACTCCTCTTTGGGCCCCTTCTGCCAAGCTGGCAGGGTCTGCTCTGACCCTTGGAGCTGCCTGCAAGCAGAGGGTGTTGTTCCATCAAAAGGGGATCACCTTCAGCCAGCTATGCCATTGTTTTCCAGTTGTTCAGTAACTAAAGGATCTCAAAGCTTGCTTTCATTTCAATCTCACTTATAGTTTCAATATTCTCAAAATCTTTTGCCAGGCAATCATATTTGTAAGGCTTTCCTGTTTCATCTTCCCCAACAAGATACCACAGCCCAGAGCTGAGGGGCTCACATGGAGCCAAACCTCACAGCCCCACAGGGATTTGGGGTAGTGGGAGAGCTCTCCTGAGCCTGGCCCCAGCCAAACAGGAGCCAGCCAGCCTGAGGGCACTTAATGTCCATCCCCAGCCACACCATGAGGCCAGGTCCCTCATTTCCTGGCCAAAACAGGCACAGGGGATGTGCTGGGCCAGAAGTGGGCTAAGTCAGGCTGAGAGAGCCCCCAGGGACACGGCAGCTGGGGTGGAGAAGGCTTCCACCATAAACAGCGTTCCAGGACAAGAGGCAGTGCAGCTGGTGGCACAGTGGGCATGCCAAGGAGCCATTCTGTCCATCAGCTGAGGGCAGGGCTGTTCCATATTCCCCAGGCAGGGGGTTATCCACAGGTGAGCGTGGCTCAGCCCTTGTCATGGCAAACTGTCCATCCTGAGCACCAATCTGCTTGGGCCACCCTCCTTCCTTCCTGTGGCAGCTGGGCAGGGCTTGTCAAGGCTTCTGGGACGTGACAGACAGAGTGTCCATGCTTTCCTTATCCTCTTCTGTGCCAGAGCCAGGACTGCATGGCAGCTGCACTGGCCTGCAGCAAAATCCTGAAGGAGCTGGCCAAGGAGGAGGAGGACACGGACACCACTGATGACATGATGGCCCTGGCTGAGGAGTATGAGCACAAAGCAATCGGTGAGCAGGAGGGCACCAACGCCCCCAGAGCTGCTCCTGTCTCCCCAGATCTGCTCCTGCCCCCTCCCCAGAGCTGCTCCTGCCCCCCATGGCTGGTGAGCTTTACCCAGGAGATGTCTGGGGGTTGAGAAATGAGGGTCCCATCCCCACAGCTGGGGATTATGCTGCACAGGCCATGCCCACACGATGGTGGGAGTACAGGGAGTGCCAGTGTGTGGTGCCATGTCCTGGTCCTGCTCAGAAGGGTGAGGACTCTGTGAGCCCCAGAGCTCAGGCTCCTCCTGCTGGTCCTGGCCCTTGCAGGTGTGTTCACAGACTGCTACCGCAAGGACGAAGAGAGAGCCCAGAAGCTTCTCACCCGTGTCTCTGAGGCCTGGGGGAAGACAACCTGCCTGCAGCTGGCCTTGGAGGCCAAGAACATGAATTTTGTGTCACATGGGGGCGTTCAGGTGGGCTGCCAGCAGTGGTCCTTGGAGGGAATGTGCCCAAGAGCTCCTCGTGGGTGGCTGTGTGACTCTGCCCTTCGGCCTCTGTAAGCAGCACTCCTCTTTGTCACCCTTCACAGGCTTTTCTAACCAAGGTCTGGTGGGGGAAGCTGTCTGTGGACAATGGCCTTTGGAGGGTGATCACGTGCATGCTGTTCTTCCCACTGCTCTACACCAACCTCATCACCTTCAGGTATTCTGGCAGCTGGGACACTCTTGCACTTGTCACAGACATGTTTGATGAAAAATCCTTTTTAGGATTTTTTCTCCTGAGAAGCTGAGAGGCCTCAGGAACAAACTGTAAGCAATAATTATCTGCTGCTGTGGAATGCAACAGGTGGATCTGTGATTGGCCATTAATTAGAAACAACTGATGTGGACCAATGGATTGGCCATTAATTAGAAACAACCGATGTGGACCAATGGATTGGCCATTAATTAGGAGCCACCAACATGGACCAGTTGATTGGCCATTAATTAGGAACCACCAACATGGACCAGTTGATTGGCCATTAATTACGAACCACCAACATGGACCAGTTGATTGGCCATTAATTACAAACAACCACATGGGCCAATCCCAGATGCACCTGTTGCATTCCACAGCAGCAGATAACCACTGGTTACATTTTGTTCCTGAGGCCTCTCAGCTTCTCAGGAGGAAAAATCCTAAAAAGGAAAGGGTTTTTCATAAGACATGCCTGTGACAGTGCACTGAGGCAGGGCTTCCTCCAGCCTCCCCCTGCAGCTGGCTGGCTGGGGAGAGATGCTGTGGCACCTCCTGAGCAGCTGAACCCACGTCCATCCCTCCTGCAGCAGGGAGAAGAGGCTGCAGCCACCCATGAGCTGCCTGGCGCGCCTCCGAGCCTTCTTCACAGCGCCCATCGTCATCTTCCTCATGAACACCCTCTCCTACTTCACCTTCCTCCTGCTCTTCGCCTATGTGCTGATGGTTGACTTCCAGCCCGCGCCCTCCTGGCGGGAGTACCTCATCTACTTCTGGCTCTTCTCCCTGGTGTGCGAGGAGACCCGCCAGGTGTGGGCAGGCACAGCTGGGGCTGGCAGGTGGCACAGGAGGGGACGCAGCCCTCTGGGTGCTCTGGGAGGTGCCACCACATGGCTCATGGTCCCGTGCTGCTTCTCGTGTCACCCCCTGTTCCGAGAGGCCCTGGCACGTGGAACCACCCGATCCCCCATGTCTGAGGCCAGGGATTCTCCTTGGCTGCAGCTGGCTTGGCCCTGTGTATTTGCAGAAGAAAATGCTGTTGGGCTGGTGGGCTTTTCCCAGGAGGTGTCTGTGTCTGTTTTGGGAATGTCAGGAGATGGAGGGAGCTCATCCTTTGGGTGAATTCCCAGCAGGATTTCCAGGTTTTGCTTGACATTTGAGATTTTCCAGCTTTTGCTTCAACATCTCAGTGCCTTTCTCCTCCAGCCTGAAGAGCCCCAATGTCCCAGGTGTCCTCATGCTCCTCCCATGCCCCTAGAGCAAACCACACAGGCTCAGGTTGCCTTCGGGTCAGCAGGAGTGTCCAGTGATGGCCAGATGATCTGTGTGGTCCCTCCCCTCCATGAGACACATGAGTATCTTACACCCAGCCCCTTTTCTCTTCCCAACAGCTGTTGTATGATCCAGATGGACTCGGGGTTGTGAAAATGGCTTCCCTGTACATCAAGGACTTCTGGAATAAGCTGGATATCTGTGCCATCCTGGTCTTCATTGCAGGGCTGACTTGCAGGTGAGCTGCAGAGCTCAACAGTATTTTCACAGAATTATGGAATCTCAGAGTGATTTGGGTTGGAAGGGACCTTAAAGCCCATCCATGGGCAGGGACACCTCCCACTCTCCAGGTTGTTCCAAGCCCCATCCAGCCTGGCCTTGGACACTGCCAGGGATCCAGGGGCAGCCACAGCTTCTCTGGGCACCCTGTGCCAGGGCCTCACTTCCCTCTCAGCAATTCCAACCTAAGTGATTCTGCGTGGTTCTATGGTGGCACTGAGGTGTTTCCTTTCCTCTCTTTCCTGTCCAGGCTGATCCCATCAACGTTATACCCTGGGCGCATCATACTGTCCCTGGCTTTCATCATTTTCTGCCTGCGCCTGATGCACATTTTCACAGTCAGCAGAACACTGGGGCCCAAGATCATCATTGTGAAGCGCATGGTGAGAGCTCCCCTGTGTCCTGGGGGGTGAGGCTGGACCCTCCTGCTGCAGCAGCTGGGTGTGCTACCCCTGTCATCCCATCCACAGCCATCCTCCCCCTTTGTCTTTGCAGATGAAGGATGTCTTCTTCTTCCTCTTCCTGCTGGCAGTGTGGGTGGTGTCCTTTGGGGTGGCCAAGCAGGCTATCCTGATCCACAATGAGGAGCGCGTGGAGTGGCTTTTCCGTGGCGTGGTCTACCATTCCTACCTGACCATCTTCGGGCAGATTCCCTCCTACATCGATGGTACAGGACACTGGCTGTGGCAGCCATGGCACAAGCAGGGTGGCTGTGGCAGCCATGGCACGAGCAGGGTGGCTGTGGCAGCCATGCCGTGAGCAGGGTGGCTGGGGCAGCCATGCTGTGAGCGCAGGGTGGCTGTGGCAGGGCTGGTGTACCAAACTCATGCTGTGCTGGCCCATGGAAGTGTCGCAGAGCTGGCAGTGAGCAGAGCACCTGGTATGGTGCAGATGGAGGTCAAGTCCCTGCCTGGTGCTGAGCTCCCTGGAGCTGTCTGAAAACAGAATGTGCTCCCCAAGACACCCAAGGTTTGGCCACTGTAGAATCACACTGTGCCTTCCCACAGGGGTCAACTTCAACATCGACCAGTGCAGCCCCAACGGGACTGACCCCTACAAGCCCAAGTGCCCGGAGACAAACGGGGACAACAAGACCCCCATCTTCCCAGAGTGGCTGACAGTCATCCTGCTGTGCCTGTACCTGCTCTTCACCAACATCCTCCTCCTCAACCTCCTCATTGCCATGTTCAAGTGAGTCTGGGGGGCCCTAGATGTGGTGGAAGCAGTGGGATCCCACCTGGGGATTGTAGATGTGGTAGGAGCAGCTGCAGCTCAGGGCTGATGAGGGAGCTGGGTAGAGCTGGGACACTGTCCAGCCACGATGTGCCCCCTCATCCCCACGGCACGGCTGACACCTGGGCTGTGCCCCAGCTACACCTTCCAGCAGGTGCAGGAGCACACGGACCAGATCTGGAAGTTCCAGAGGCACGACCTGATCCAGGAGTACCACGGCCGCCCGCCCGCGCCGCCGCCCCTCATCCTGCTCAGCCACCTGCAGCTCCTGCTGCGCCGGGGCCTGCTCCGCCAGCCTGCCACCCACCACAAGCTCAGTGAGCACCAGCATCCCCCTCCTGCCCTCTGCCCCCTCCTCGGGGCATGGTGCCACGCACCGAGGCACAAGGCTGGGCACAGGGGCTGTGCTCCTGGGCTTTGGGATGGCCAGGGGTGTGACTGCACTGCTGTCCTCTTCCCTGGGCAGAGGAGAAGCTGGAGAAGAACGAAGAAGCTGCCCTGCTCTCGTGGGAGATGTACCTGAAGGAGAGCTACCTGCAGCACCAGCAGTGCCAGGAGAAGCAGAACACGGAGCAGATGATCCGGGACATTGCACAGAGGTATGGCTGCCCCCTGGGAAGGAAATTCCTTCTGTCCTTCGGTGTCCTGGGCATGGAAGGGTTGGGATCAGGGCAGGGGTGGCTGCTGAGGGTGTTCCAGCCTGCACTGTCTCTCCAGGGTTGATGTGCTGGCAGAGCTGCTGGACTTGGACAGGGTGAAGAGGACGGGGGTAGTGGAGCAAAGACTGGGCTCTCTGGAGGACCAGGTGAGGCAAAACCAGGGCAAGAAAGGTGAAATTTTTCCAGGTCCTGAGTCAATTGAAAGGTGAAGTTTTTCCAATTTTTCAATTTTTTCAATTGAACCAGAACATATAATCTCTCTGAGTCAACACCCTTTGAGACAGTTTGAGTTTCCTTGCTATTAGCCATCTGAGGGTTAAAGGTTTATAGGAAAAGCTCTGTTTGACTCCAAAGTAAACAGGATGCAGGTGGGAAGTGCTGGGATGGGCCACTGCCCCCACTGGTCACCCAAAGAGTTAGAGCGGACCCAGCTCTTCTCCTTTGTTGTAAATCAAAGGCAACTCTGGCGAAGGGGAGAGAATGATGAGGAGGACTCCATGGATATCAGAAGGCTAATTAATTATTTTATTATACTATATTATATATATTTCATCTAAACTGAATCTGCCAAGCATTCCCTCTGCGCACACCTGCTCACACTGCACTGAATCTTGTGACTGTCAGTGACAGTCCCAACACACACACACCTGGCCCTGACAGGCCAAGGGAACAAAACACCATCACTGTGGGTAAACAATCTCCATATTGCATTCTACTGTGGCACAAACACAGGCACAGCAAGTGATAAGAATTGTGGTTTTCCCTTTCTCTGAGGTTCAGAGAATGTGAATCTCAGAAATCCTCGGGAAGAATTGTGCCTTGCTTTTCTTTGTGAAGGGAAATGCGGCAACACTCCTTGGCCTGAGAGGGCCCTCCAGAGCTCCTGGGGACAGAGGCTCTCTGTCCCCTCCCTCTGGAGCACTGGGGTGCCCAGGGAGCCAGCCCATCTGTTTCCATCTCCCTCTCCACCTGCTCTGTAAGAATATTCCCCTGGAGGAGTTTCTCCAAGGCAAACACCAGGACACAGCCAGGCTCACAGGGCCTGGTGCCCAGGGTGGCTGCGCCAGGGCAGGGTCCCGTGGCACTCGGGGGACAGTGGGGCTGGGGGTGACCCTGTGCTGTGCCCTGCAGGTGCATCAGAGCGCCCAGGCCCTGCGCTGGATGATGCAGGCGCTGCGGGGCAATGGCTTCAGCTCGGCGGAGGATGCGCCGCCCGTGGGTAAGCACAGCCGGCTCCTCCCCAGCAGCACCGGGCTGGGCTGCCCCCCACGCCCCTCTGCCAAGCAGGGAGACACGGGTTCCTTTGCTCCTGGGAGGTTTGGTGCCTCCATGAGGTCATCCAGCCCCTCCTGAGGCCGTTCCCACCCTCCCCGGGGTTTAATGCCAGAAGGGAAGCCAGGGGACACCAACATCCCCCATGGACACCAACATCCCCATGGAGGAGAGGCAGCCCCCTCAGCAGGGCCCCAGCCCACAGTGCTGGACGTGGGGCCCTGCTTTGTGGGACCCTGCAGTCTGTGTCTGCCCCACAGGCTCCTCCACAGCCCTGGGCACCAAGGAGATTGCCCTGGAGGGAAGAGCTGAGGAGAGGCAGCCCCCGTGCCATGTGCTGGCCCGGAACCTCCTGTATCCAGGGTCCCACATTCTCCGCTTCCCTGTGCCCGATGAGAAGGTGCCCTGGGAGGTAGGGGCTGTGAACAGGGGCACTGGGGCAGGGAGGAGAAGGCACATCCTGACAGTGGTGGGAAGAGGAGCCCATCATCCCATTTGGGAGCTGTTGTTCTTCCCAACCCTGAGACCCTTGGCTTCCCGGAGTCGCTGTTTGAGTGACCCCAAAGGAAAGGGCTGGGATCCATTCCTGCCAGGACCTGCAGTGCCAGGAGTGCCTGGGGATGCTTGGTGGGACACAGGGGGTGCAACCAGCCACCTCTGCATTTCCTGAAGCACGGCTGCCTCAGGGGCAGGGACAGGATCCAGTACTGGCTTCCATGGGGGTGTGTGAGTCCTCCAGCCAGGACTCTGAGCTCAGCCCCCAGCAGAGCCTGGAGCATCCCACGAGCTGGGCAGAGGAAGAGCCTGGGCCCTGAGGTGTCCCTGGGGTCCCAGCCCCTGCCTGCTGTGAGAGCAGGGGCACAGTTCAGGGGGCAGACCCAGCCATGTGTTGTGCAGGTGGATTTCCCGCTCTATGACCCCCCTGCCTACTCGGCTGAGCACAAGGACATGGCAGTGCAGGACCCCTTCAGCCTGTGAGTGTCCCCCCACGGCTCCCCAGCCCTCCTCCCCTCCCTGGGTGGCACAGCCAGCCCTCCCAGCCGGGCTGCCTCCCACCCTGCAGCTCCTTGGAGTCTCTGCTGAAGATCAACTACAACACCATGGACGGGCTGATCGACCGGCAGAGCTTCCACGGGCTGTACACCGTGCAGGACGGGCTGCCACTGTGAGTGCCACTGTCACTGTGTGTCACTGTGAGTGCCACTGTCACTGCCACTGTGAGTGTCCCTGCCACTGTGTGCCACTGCCCCTGTCACTGCCACTCTGAGTGCCACTGTCACTGCCACTCTGAGTGCCACTGCCACTGTGTGCCACTGTCACTGTGTGCCACTGTGAGTGCCACTGTCACTGTGTGCCACTGTGAGTGCCACTATCCCTGTGAATGCCACTGTCACTGTGTGCCACTGTCACTGCCCCTGTGAGTGCCACTGTGAGTGCCACTGCGAGTGCCACTGTCACTGCCCCTGTAAGTGTCACTACCCCTGTGAGTGCCACTGAGTGCCACTTCTGCTGTGAGTGCCACTGCCACTGTGTCACTGTCACTGTGAGTGCCCCTGTGAGTGCCCCTGCCACCGTGTCTGCTACCACCATAGCAGCTGCCTGGCAGGACAAGCATGGGCACACAGAGAGGCCAGGGCTGCCTGGGCACATCCATCCCATCCCATCTGATCCCCACTTTCCTAGGGGGCAGGGATGACTGCATGCACTGTCCTTAGGGCTGAACCCCAAAAACACCCCCAAAATGTGGGGTGCAGGGGTAGGGAAGGGGTGCACAGAGGGAGCCCTCACTGTCACCCTGCAGGAACCCCATGGGCAGGACGGGGCTGAGAGGCCGTGGGAGGCTGCACTGCTTTGGGCCCAACCATGCCCTGCACCCCGTGGTGACCCGGTGAGTGTGGGGTGAGGATGTGGGGTGGAAAAGGGACCATGGGGTCACCCCAGAGACATGGCCCAACCCCACACTGCCAACGTGAGCACTGCTGGGCACAGGGGAGCCACAGCTGCAGCATGACAGGGGCCTGTCCCACAGCTGGAGGAGGAACTTGGATGGGTCCATCATAAGGAAGAGCCTGAAGAAGATGCTGGAAGTCCTGGTGGCCCAATACCCCCTGTCAGATGTGTGGGCTCTGCCTGGGGTGAGAGCTGGCAAAAAACAGGGAAGGGGAAGGGAAGGGGAAGGGGAAGGGAAGGGGAAGGGAAGGGGAAGGGAAGGGAAGGGAAGGGAAGGGAAGGGAAGGGAAGGGAAGGGTCCCACAGAAAAGGGGGAATCACAGGCGTGTGTCCCAGCCTGGCTGAGGAGGTACCTCTGCCCCTCCTGCAGAGCACCTGTGTGACCGTGTTCACAGGGCTCTGAGGATGAGGGAAGAGGCAAGGATCTGACTCCATGTTTCAGAAGGCTTGATTTATTATTTTATGATATATATTATATTAAAACTACACTAAAAGAAGAGAAGAAAGGATTTCATCAGAAGGCTGGCTAAGAATAGAAAAAGAAAGAATGATAACAAAGGCTTGTGGCTCAGACTGTCTGTCTGAGCCAGCTCATTTTGATTGACCATTAATTAGAAACAACCAACATGGGCCAATCCCAGATGCCCCTGTTGCATTCCACAGCAGCAGATAACCATTGGGTACATTTTGTTCCTGAGGCCTCTCAGCTTCTCAGGAGGAAAAATCCTAAGGAAAGGATTTTCCATAAAAGATGTCTGTGACACACCTGCATGCCAGGCTGCTGGGGGAGCAGTGCCCCACTCACCCTGACCCCCTGCCTCCATGGCTTCAATCCTCACATCCTTCATGTGAGCCTGTTAAGCCATTGGCAGAGCATCCTTTGGCAGACACTGGATCAGGCAAACTCAGACATCAGCTTGGGCAGAGCTGAGGACTTTGGGCAGCAGAGGGAGGGTGGGAGGCACCAGCAGACCTTGGGGCATCTTCTGCAGCAGTGACAGGCCTGATGGCCAAGCTGTTGGCAGGGAGGGAGGCTGGAGTGTGCTGGTGGCAGCCCCCAGAGCTGACATCTGCTTTGTCACAGGGCTCCCTGGAGCCAGGGGAGACGCTGCCACTGAAGCTCAAGTGGATCCTGCGCAGGGAGTTCTGGCCCCAGTTCCAGAACCTGCTGAAACAAGGCACTGAGGTGGGGACACACAGGGGTCCCCGTGGTGTGGGGTCACAGGAGGGCTCAGGGGTGTGGGCATCACCCTGGGTGACACACAGGTGTCACGGGGACATCACCACGGCACGGGGACATGTGGCATCATGGTGTCACAGGGCCACATGGGTGGGCCAGGGTACAGAGGCAGGGTGCATCCCTCTTGGCACTGCTCCCACCAGAGGCGAAGGGGCAGGGGAGGTGAGAATGTGCCATAATTTGTCTGGGGGTCGGGGAGCAGCCCAGAGACCCTGGGGGAGGGCTGCCCACACCAGTCTGTGCCTGCAGCAGTGACTCCCCACGGCTCCAGCTGCACTGGGAGCGGGGCTCCGGTCTCCAGCAGGGCAGAGCTGCAGGACAATGCCCCACCCAGCCCCAGGGTGCCCTCAGAGAGGTGATGAGGGCTCTGCTCAGGTGTCATCCCCATGCACAGGTGCACAAGGGGTACCTGGACGACCCCCGGAACACGGATAACGCCTGGGTGGAGACGGTGGCCATCAGCGTGCACTTCGACACCCAGCACGACCTGGAGATGAAGCGGCTGAACTCGGTGAGGGGCTGCCACCCCCGGGGCTCCCTGGGCACAGCAGCCACATCTGCACAGCCACAGCCCCACGGGACTCTGCTGCATGCAGCAGGAGAGGAACGGGGGATGAACGTGGGGTGGCACCTCAGTGTGTGCCCCAAAAAGAGGCAGGAGGCTGGGGATGGGAGGTGCTGTTGGGTGTGGCTGGCAACACACGTGTGACCCTGTTCACAGGGGTCTCAGGTTGAGGGAAGAGATGAGGATCTCATGTTTCAGAAGGCTTGGTTTATTATTTTATTATATATATTACATTATACTAAAAGAATAGAAGAAAGGATTTCATCAGAAGGCTGGCTAAGAATAGAAAAAGAAGGAATGATAACAAAGGCTCTGTCTTGGACTCTCTGTCTGAGCCAGCTGACTGTGATTGGCCATTAATTAGAAACAACCCCATGAGCCCAATCCCAGATGCACCTGTTGCATTCCACAGCAGCAGATAACCATTGGTTACATTTTGTTCCTGAGGCCTCTCAGCTTCTCAGGAGGAAAAAATGCTAAGGAAAGGATTTTCCATAAAAGATGTCTGTGACACACACGTGTGCCATCTGTCCCCCTGCAGTTCCTCCAGGGCTGTGACCCCGAGCTGTGCATCCGCTGGCAGGTGCTGGACAAGAGGATCCCCCTGCACGCCAACCACAAGGAGCTCCTGCACAAGGTCTCAACTCTCCTTGGTGCCTACTACTGAGGCTTCCTGCCTCCCAGGCTCTGGCTGGGACCTGCAGCTCTGAGAACACGGGAGCTGCTGGAGCTGAGGTGCTCTGGGTGTCTGTGTGAATGTATGCTGCAGGTCTCTGGGAGGAAAAGTGTCCCCTCCCTGCCACCTGAGCCACCAAGTTCAGCCCCAGCTGCTGTCTTGGTGCTTCCACATCAGCCCCCAGCACTAGCCCAGAGCTTGGGCCACACAGAGCCACAGGGCTTTTCCTGTGACATGGTCCTTCTGTCCACTCCAGCCTGCTCTCGGCTTTGGGGTGGGCACTGGGGGCTCACCAGCCCCAGCTACCCCTCCTCCAGAATCTCCATCCCTGCTCCCTGCTCCTGCTCCGAGCCCTGGCAGCCCCAGTGCCACAGATCCCAAAGGATTGCTCTGGGGGAGGCCTGGAGCCACTCCTGTGGTGGCTGCACCCGTACCTCTGGTTGCCTCAGACCCAACAACATGGTCCTGAGCTGTGAGCCAGCACTCCTGAAGGTGTGAGCAGCTCTTGGCTTGTATACCTATGGTTTCACAGCCCTGCACAGGCCCACCTGCCATGCCCCAACCTGTGTGTGATCCTGCTTGTGTATGCTGAGCACTGGCTTGTACTTCCCTCCTCTCTCTGAGCTAAGCGTCACCTGCCTGTCCCCACCCCTCGTGCACACGGGTAGGAGGTGGCAGCTTGCTGGGACACAGGTGCTCCCTGCTCTGTGGTTCCTTGGGCAGGTGGGGACAGGAGAGGGGACATCTGTGTGTCAATCCCAGACATCCCTGCTTTTTAGGGGTCTTTCACTCACGTTTTCTGCTGCCAGTGGACACATTTCCTGATCATCCAGAAGAGCCCCACAGCAGCGTGTTATGCCTGGCACTGCTCAGGAGGGGATTTTAGTCCCCCACCTCCTCCCCGTGGATCAGACCCTGGCCAGCCAAGGCTGCTCATCCCACGCTGGTGGCCATCAGAGCACAACTGCACTTTCACCAGTGCTGCACGGGGCTTTGGCAAGGGGAGGGGGCTCAGTCTGGCAATGTGTTCAACCCAGCTCAATAAACCATTATTAACCACTGCAGGCTGCTGGTGTCTGACAGCTGTTTAACCAGGGGCTGCTCCTGGGGGCCATGCTTGGAGCACACCTCAGGAATAAGCCAAATTCCCACCCCAATCTTGCTGTACAAACTCACTTTGCCTGCAGACTCACCCCCAGGGATGGCTGAATCACAGAAGGGTTTGGGCTGGACAGGATTTCAGTGATGATTTCCCTTCAAGCCCCCAGCCATGGGCAGGAACAGCTTGCAGCAGCCCAGGCTGCTCGAGACGACTGGCCCCGTTCAAAGCTGGTGTGGGAGCTGTGCTGGCAGGGCACCTTCTCCTACTGCTCCTGGACTGATGTCTGCTCCTGCTTTCCTGGCACCTCCAGGCCGGGGCCCGGCCGGGGAGGGACAATCGCTCCTTACAGCAGCTGATGAAGCTTCTAGACTGGCAGCCCGGACCGCAGCCTCCAAAACCTGCGGGAATCTCATTAGCAGCACTCAATTTGTGCGCACTGGGCTCGGCGCGGCCACTCTCCCGCAGCCCCCGGCTGTCCCACCACGCTGCTCCCGCCGCTCCGCTCCCGCACTGCCCCCATCCCCGCACTGCCCCCATCCCCATCCCAATCACCGCCCCCATCCCTATCCCAATCACCGCCCCCATCCCCATCCCCGCCCCTATCTCCATCTCCATCCCCATCCCCGCCCCTATCCCCATCCCCATCCCCATCCCCGCCCCTATCTCCATCCCCATCCCCATGCCCGCCCCTATCTCCATCCCCATCCCCGCCCCCGTCCCCATCACCTGCCGGTGCCGCCGCGGCGGGGCCGCCCGGCCCGGGGAGCGGCCGCAGCAACAGGTGGGGCCGGCCGGGACCGCGGCTGAACGGAACCGAACCGAACCGGCACCGACACCGGCACCGAGCCAACAACCGGAGCGAAGCAGAGCCGCCCTGCCGAGCCGGTAAGAGTCCGCCGGGCTCCGGGGTCGGCGGTGCTGCACGGAGGAGCCCCGGGTCCCCGGCAGGGCAGCGGGGCGGGCCGGAGCATCTCCCCCGACAGCCCCGGTCCGGGGAGGCTGCGGCTCCTGAGAGCCCCCGGAGCCCTTGCATGCAGTGGGAACCGGCATAACGCGTCCTTGTTCCCCCGGAGAGACGGAGCTGTGAGAGCTGCCAGAGCCAGGGGAATTTTGCAGGGCCGGAGGGATTCCCTGGAAGCCCAACTTCCATTTTCCCGGGAAGCCAAACTTCATATCCCCGGGCAGAATCCACTGCTGTGGGCAGGGCTGAGGGCAAAGCTGCAGACAGCATCCCTCGAGTATGAGCACACCTCGGGTGTGAGCATCCCTCAGGTGTGAGCACATCTCAGGTATGAGCATCCTTCAGGTGTGAGCATCCCTCAGGTGTGAGCACATCTCAGGTGTGAGCATCCCTCAGGTGTGAGCGTCCCCCTGTGGTACCCTGGGCACACCTGAGGGATGCTGCTGTTGCCAGGGGAGTGCCATTAGCAGAAGGATTCTGGTGCCAGAGGGACAACTTGGTGTCCATAACGACATCACATGGGACATTTAATTCCTGTGAGAAATGTTCCCTTGGCCTCCCAGACCTGCCCTCAGTGAGGATCTCTTCTGCCAGGCTGGCCAAGGCAGCAGCAGGGACATGAGCAGCACCAAAGGCAGAGGAAAGGTGCCCCACCTGCTCCACCTCCTGCCTTGCCACTGGCAGCACTGGGGTGCCCTTTGGGGCTCCTGCATCACCCCTTTTACTGTGCCAGGCAGTGGCTCCTCCCTTCCCCTCCCAGCCCCAGAGTCAGGCTGTCAAACCACACTCTTTGTTTACTTTAAAAACACAAACTCACCTCCAAACACTTCTTTGGTAAAACTCGTGCAAACCTGGCTTGTACCAGCTCGTAGACCAGAAGGGAAGGGAAGGGAAAGCAAAAGAGCTCCACATTTTGTTATTTAAAACCCTGGGGGTGATTAAATCACTCTGATGATTCTTGGAGTCTGACTCATAATTTTTTTTAAACACTCAGGGTTGGTGAGATAGGGATTTACTGCTGCTGCTCTCCAGCAGCAAACCAATGCATGCCCCCTGGAAACTGGCAGCAGGATGGGGCAGAGGCTCCCAGCCCATCTCCACTCCCCATCCTGCAGCTCCCTTTGTCCACCTGGGTGCTCTCTGCAGACACAGGGGTAGGGCAGCTGGGGTTTTTATTCCTAATTAATCCAAATTAAGCTGTCCTGGGAAAGACAGCCAGTGTCACTCCAGTTTCATGAGCCCAGCCTCTCACCCCCTTGCCAGGCACATCACACACGAGCCATGCCCTCTGTTGCAGGCAATAATGTTGTGTCACATTGTGGTGGTGTTCACAGGGGTCTTAGGATGAGGGAAGATATGAGAATGGTGACTCCATGTTTCAGAAGGCTTGATTTATTATTTTATTACATATATTATATTAAAACTATACTAAAAGAATAGAAGAAAGGATTTCATCAGAAGGCTGGCTAAGAATAGGAAAAGAATGATAACAAAGGCTTGTGACTGACTGAGACAGTCTGAACAGCTGACTGTGATTGGCCATTAATTAGAAACAACCACATGAGCCCAATCACAGATGCACCTGTTGCATTCCACAGCAGCAGATAATCATTGTTTACATTTTGTTCCTGAGGCCTCTCAGCTTCTCAGGAGAGAAAATCCTAAGGAAAGGCTTTTCATAAAACGTGTCTGTGCCATCACATCCCCTCCACCCACAGCTTCCCTCCAGCCATGGCAGAGGCCTTGCAGGGACGCCCAGGGACCCTCCTGGTGCCCAGGAGCTGCTGCCACGCCCGGGGAGCTGCCAGGGGCCGTGCTCAGCTGCCTGCCTGCAGGATGACCCTCACCACCACCACCAGCGTGGCCCAGGCTTTCTTCTGCCTCCTGCTCTGCATCCCCTGGGGCAGCTCCTGCCCCCGCAGCTGCCGGTGCACGGAGCGGGCCGGGGCCAAGGCTGTGCTCTGCAGCTCCCAGCACCTGCAGGAGATCCCCAAGGACATCCCCAGGGACGCGGTGCTCCTCAAGCTGGATGCCAACAGCATCACCAGGATCCCCAGCAACGCCTTCAGGCACCTGTCCCACCTGCGGGAAATCGACCTGTCCGGGAACGCCATCGAGCACATCGACAGGGCGGCTTTCAGAGGGGTGGCAGCCGGGCTGAAGAGCCTGGACCTCTCCGGGAACCGCATCCGCAGCATTCCCAAGGAGGCGCTGCTGGCTCTCAGGGCCAAGCTGCGGCTGGCCAACAACCCCTGGCACTGCGGGTGCGCCCTGCAGGAGGTGCTCGGGGAGGCGCGGCTGGACCCCGACTCCGTGCGGGGCATCACCTGCCACACGGCCCCGCGCCACGAGTACGTGGGCAAGCCCCTGCTCCAGGCGCTGGACAGCGGAGCCAACTTCTGCAGCGTGCCACGGAGGAGCACGGACGTGGCCATGCTGCTCACCATGTTCGGCTGGTTCGCCATGCTCGCCGCCTATGTCATCTGCTACGTGCGCCACAACCGGGAGCGCTCCCGCGGCCACCGGGAGCACCCGCGGGCACTGCCCGGCACCCGGGGCCGGGCCGAGAGCTCCAGCACTGCCCTGTAGGGAGGGCTGGGTGCCAGCTCCAGGCTTAGCCACGGGGAGCCCACGGCAGAGAGCACCAGTCTCGGGGTCTTTAGGGGGTCAGAGTGACCCCAAAATAGGTTAGAAAGTGTGATGGTGTTCACAGGGGTCTGAGGATGAGGGAAGAGACGAGGATCTGACTCCATGTTTCAGAAGGCTTGATTTATTATTTTATTATATATTTTATATTAAAACTATACTAAAAGAAGAGAAGAAAGGATTTCATCAGAAGGCTGGCTAAGAATAGAAAAAGAAGGAATGGTAACAAAGGCTTGTGGCTCAGACTCTCTGTCCAAGCCAGCTGACTGTGATTGGCCATTAATTAGAAACAACCACATGAGCCCAATCCCAGATGCACCTGTTGCATTCCATAGCAGCAGATAACCATTGGTTACATTTTGTTCCTGAGGCCTCTCAGCTTCTCAGGAGGAAAAATCCTAAGGAAAGGGTTTTTCATAAAAGATGTCTGTGACAGGAAAGTCTCTTTTCCCAGCTTGGCACTTGAAGGAGTCAGAGCTCTTCATTTCTCAGTCTCAAGGTTGTTTATTGTTTCTTATCTATAAAAGTTTTTCTCCTGTCCAGCCAAGGTCCACTCAGCAGGACAGTCAGAGGCACTCTGCCCGCCTTGGTGTTATCTTTTTATACTAAAAACTACGTGTACAATATTTACAATTACTTTCCAATACCTATCACCTATGTTAGACAGTGAGCTTCTACTCTAAACCAGTCCCAAAGTGCCAACATCACAGCAGAAGATGGAGGCCAAGAAGAAGAAGGAGAAAGGCTGGACATGCCCAGATTCCTCCATCTTGCCCCCTGAATCCCTATTCTTAAAACCCCAAAAATCTATTTTTTCACCCTGTGATAAATTCACTATCATTGTACTTAAACTTTTGTGGCTTGTAATTCTTCATATAAGGTTGGTAATTGTTTTTTCCAAGGGATAAATCAAAGGCACAGGGGTCTTGGGCTCTGTGCCAAGGCCTCTGAGGCCCCTGGGCAGGGGCTCAAAGCCTCCAGGGCAGCCAGAGGAATTTCCTGGGTTCTGACACAGCAGCACCACCCTGTAGTGAGTGCTGGGTACCAGCCTCCAGCACCTCCACAGAGAGCTCATCACCACCTGATGGGCATCAAAGCTTCTCAGCAGGATTCTCCAATGCTTTCTCCAGACCGGTGCCCCAATCCTCCCTCCCCAGCAAGGCTGGACTGAGTGTGAGCAGGTGACATGGGACACCCCACGTAGGTCTGTCCGTGGTGAGCAGCCTCTGGGGACAGACAGCCCCAGCCAGAGCCTTTTTCCCTACCAGAGCTGGCTCGCAGGGAATGCAGCCCCAGGCACACCCTTGTGGTTGGGAGAGATGCGTTGTGGGGCCAGGAGGTCCCTGCAGGGGTGCACAGGGGTGACCCCATCCTGGCTGCAGCGAGGCATCAGCCTTGCCAAGGGCAGGACAGGCTCCCCAAGGCCCTCAGCACCAGGGAAATCCAAAACCTTTGTCTCCTCAATAAAGGCCTGCACTTAGGGAAAAGCCCTCAGGGTTTGTGCTGTGCTGGGAGATGGTGGAGCTCGTGGTGCTTGGGGGGCTTATCTTAATCCAATCTGTCCCAAAGCAGACCAGCCTAAATTCAATGTACCAGCACAATTCCCATTAGGTGCCATCCCCTCCCACCCTCAGCCCAAATACATCTGGTCTTGCCTTATCTTGCCCTTCTCAGGGCTGGATTAGAGTTGTTGCTCAGAGCTCAGTGATGGAAGCAAATCAAATTCTCCCTTTTCTCACAAGGGAGAAATGGTCCTTCCTGGCAGAGCCAGCTGCACTGAGCAGGAGGGAGAGGAGGGAGGGATGCAGAGGCTCACCCTGCAGCTCAGGACCCTGCACAGGCTCAGGCTGTGACCCCCCAGCCCTTCTTGATGGGGCTGGCACCTCCTGAGTGCTCCCAGTGCTCAGCTCTGGGGAAGGCTGAGAGGTGCTCTGGGACACTCAGTGGGGCTGGGTGGGGGGAACAGAGGGGCAGCCCCAGCCCAGCACACTCCTGAGCTCAGGGCCACCTCATCCTCGCTGGCCATGGCCATTCAGGGGTGATTTGATGGGTGAAGGGATGCAGAGCAGCTGGGTTACCCATGTGGGAGAGAGGCTGGGTGCACACAGTTTATTAGAGCTCTGGTTAAGCAAAAGAGTCCCCCCCCAGAAAAGGTGAGGAAAAGAAAAGAGGCCACAGTTTCACCTGAAGCGGGTTTGGGTTTTTCCCCACTCCCATGCAGCTGGATGGGTCCAAATGCAAAGCAGGTTTTCTCAGGGGTCCCTAACCCCAGGCAAAGGTGCAGGGACCAGCAGTGGCCCTGGAGCACACCCACAGCTCTGTACAACACACACAACACTTGTTGAGGGACACCCAGCCCCAGAGGGAGGGTGGGCAGGCCCTGTGGCACGAAGGTGACATGAAGAATGGCTGCAATGCCAAACCAGATGGTTCTCAGGAACATCACAGCCCCAGGCAGACAGAGCCAAGCCTGGACACACTTTTCCCCCCAATTTCTCACGTGTTTACTTCCCTGTGCCATGCACCCATCCCAGCAGCTCCTGCTCTGCTCTGCCTCTTCCTTCCCTGCCTTTGTGCAGGCTCTGGGTCCCTCCTGGGCACTGAAATTGCCAAGCACCACGGTCCTGGCTAAGCCAGGGGATGCGCCCAGGCTCCAGCAACCTTGGCTAGGACATGGCTCTGGAGCGTGGTGGCAGAGCTTTCCCAGGAGAAACAGCCCCTGGACAAGGCTGCAGGGAGCCTGGAGCTCTCCCCTCCTCCTCCTCCTCCTCCCTTCCTGCAGCAGCCCCTGCCCGGCTGATGCTCTGATGCTGCAGCCATTCCCGGGCTCCGTGTCCATCTGCGCCGATGGGCTGGGCGTGTCTCAGCTGCCTCAGGTGGTTTTCAGCTTGAGCACCTTGGAGAGCGGCTCCTTGGCGCTGGAGTAGAGCAGGAAGGAGCCCTCGGCGGTGTGGAACGCCTCCCAGTCTCTGCAGCCCACCGTGGGGAGCTGGTGGGCGGCCACGAAGCCCTCGTAGCCTTGCCACCTGCACAGGGAGGGCAGTCAGCTCCCGGGGGCAGGGAGGGCACCTGGCAAGGGCAGGTGCCATGGGGATGCCAGCTCCCAGCTCCCTGCTGTGGCTCAGGGTGGGATGTCCCTCCTCAGAGCTTCCATGCCTGCCTGAAAGCAGGGAATAATCCTGCCCACCCTCCCCGGGCAGGTGCAGCAGGGTGTGCCCCGGGTGTCCCCGCTGGGAGCAGCCCCCAGCCCGGCCTGTGCAGTACCTGTAGATGATGCTGTTGACAGAGAAGGTGAAGCCATCGAAGGAGTTGGCCACCACCAGGAAAGAGTCATCTCCCACTGAGAAGAACTCCCAGTCCAGGGCACTGGGGAGGGAATGAGCAGAGGGACAGGTGAGGTGATCCCCATGTGGCCAGCCCATCCCAGTCTCTGACACCCTGAGGACACACAGAAAACCCTGCTCTTCCCCCCAAGGCTGTTCCTGAAAGAAATCCACCCTCATTCCCAAATCTAGGCCCTTCTCCCAGTCCCCACTGGGATTTGGTGCCAAGGAGCCATCACCCACCACCCTCCCCACCAGTCCCAGTCGCTGGGAGTGTGAAGCCTGCAGGAGCCCTCCAGGAGACAAGCAAGTGCAGATTGAAACTGAAAGAGGAGAGGCCCTGGCACAGGGTGCCCAGAGCAGCTGTGGCTGCCCCTGGATCCCTGGCAGTGCCCAAGGCCAGGCTGGACAGGGCTTGGAGCAAACTGGGACAGTGGAAGGTGTCCCTGTCCATGGCAGGGGTGGAACTGGGAGGGCTTTAAGGTCCCTTCCCACCCAAACCATTCTGGGATTCTGTGAGACCTTTGGGGTGCTCAGGGGAAGGGCACAGACCAAGGAGCACCCTGAATCCGTGCACAGGTACCTGTAGGTGAGAAGGTCCTGGAATTTAACAAACATCTGGGCCGTGATGTTCAGCTCATAGATGGAGGAGTTGATGGCATAGAAGTTGGAGGGTGCTGGCATCCCACTGTCATAGCTGTGGCTGTTGGCAACAGCCAGGAACACTCTGTCCCCAATGTGGAAAACCTCCCAGTCAGCTGCACCAAATGTCTGTGGGGAAGGAGGCCATGAGGAGCTGGATGTGGCTGCCCTGTGTAAACACAGAGGAGCAGGGGCCAAGCCTTACCAGGATAGACTGGAAGAGCTGGAAGGAGCCCCTGAGCCAGATGTAGATGTGTGAGTAGATCCTAGTGGACGTGCCATTGAATGTGTTGGCTACAGCCAGGAAGGAATATGGCCCAATGGTGAAGAACTCCCAGTCGTAGGCTCCAGAGGTAGGAATGGTCTGGTTAGTTTCAAACAGCCCTGTCCTGGGGTTCCACCTGTATATCACACTGTCTATGTTGTGGTTGTTCCCTGGGGGAGACAGATGGGCACCATGAGGGAGAGCAATTCCTGCTTTGTGTAGGAAACAAGACCCCAGAACAGGCTCAGCTATGTTAACATTTACCAGCAGGTCACGAGGCTGTTTGCAAGTGACCTGCTGCTCCCCAGGAAGCAGCCAAAGAGATCCTACAGCCCTCATTCCTACCTAAAGACCCCTCCATCCCTACCCAGACTCTCCCTTCCTAGAGCCTCCATCCCATGGAGCACACCAATAGCGTGGCCCACGGGCACAGTGGCAGCAGCAGCTTTGTGGCAGCCCTGGCAGAGGAGGGACAGGCAGGGGCTTTGTCCCCACTCAAGCAGCACTCCAGAGGCTCCCTGCCAGCAGCCCAGGGTGGACAAGCTCTGCTGGCTGTCCCACAGATGCATCCCTACACCACAGCACATGTCGCAGTTGAGATGGCCACCATACACAGAGCATCACCACACAGTTTCAGAAAGCTTCAACCCATACAGAGTAACACCACAGCACTTCAGAAGGCTGCAAGCATCTGCCCTTCTTGCTCTTGAGCCCAGCCTTTTATCCCCTGCTGTTGATGCCCTGCACCTGTGTGCCCTCTGCTCCCTTTGGTGGTTGGGCAGTGCCCCTGGGCACCCCATGGCTCATTGCTGTCAGTGCTGCTCACCTGCTGCTCACAGCTGTGCCCATTGAGGCTCAGCCCCACTCTCAATCACCACAAACTGTGTGCCTGCAGCCCCAACATCCTGACACTGGGGGCTCCCCCCTGCCCTAAAGCTCCATCCAGCTCCTGGGCTCTGCTCAAGCATCTCCACCTCACGCCTGTGTGGGACCCAAAATCCTCATTGCAACAGGGACTTGGGCAAAGAAGGGCAGCAGGAAGAGTGGGAATGGCCACATGGATGAGTGGCAGCTCCTCAGGGACTGAACCCCCAGCCCCCTCTAAGGGAAACATCCCCAGCTTGGCTTGGCCATGATGGTCTCAAGCCCTGTGTGAAGTGCATGGCTGCCACAAGGGAGGGTCTCAGCCACCTGGCCCTGATGGAGTCCAGCAGGTGACACAGGGACTTTCCAGCCCAGCAACCAGCTCTGAGCCTGGTGCCAGAGGCAGTGATGCCCCCTGAGCCAGCCCTGGTGGCAGGGAAGGAGCCAGTGGCCATCCCCTGAACCCAGCTGGGAGCATCCACAGAGCCAGGGCTGTGCTGTCAGCCAGGGCTGCACATCCCAGCCCAGAACGACTCCTGGGGAGGGGAAGGAGGCTGGATCATGGCTGCAGGGTAGCCAGGGAGGGAGGTCAGCTGGCTCTCACTCAGTTTCCTGTGTGCTCACAGGGCTGAGGGTCTGGCTTGACCAAAGGCTCAACCTGTGGCACTACCAGGTTACACAGAATTGGGGACAAAAATGAAAATAAGCAGAAAGATTCAGCACAGACCCCATCCCCACTCTTTCCTTGTCCCTTGCAGCCAGAACCCCAGAGGGTGACTGTGTCAGCCACCTGCTCAAGAGCTTTTCTCTCCTCCCAAGGCATTGGGTGTCCTGGGGCACCCCAGGCTGAGTGCTCACCTCCCCTGCCCTCCTGGGCATGCACAGGGAGCCTCCTCTGAGCAGGGCACTGCCAGGCCCCCAGGCTGTTGGGAAGGATGGAAGTTTGACAAGAAAGTCTCACAGATATGGATGCTTAGCAGAAAGATTTTTGAATGGGGAGTCTGAAGAAAGAAGAGAAATGAAAGCAAGTTTTGATATAGAAGAAAAGAATTGCTGAGCTAGTTTTGCTGGATAACCAAGGAGGCAAAGGGTGTGTTAGTTAGAAGGGGTTTTTATGATTTAGAGCAAAGGATAAACCCACCTCAAACAAGAAGATGTTTTTACCAAGCAGAGAGCACAGGCAAACAAGTCAGCAAAGTTGTAAGTAGAAAAAAGGTCTCAGAATTTTCCACTGCAAGAAAACTGAAAAACAACTTCTGGCTTAAACTGTAATGTACTGACTGTTAGTGATTGGAGAACAGTAACATGAATATGGTAATTATAGTAGTTATGATAGGCTATAGGTAACAGTTAAGGTATAGATTGGTTCTACTGTATGAAGATGCTAAGCAAAGAAAAGTATAGAACGCATTGTAACCAAAAGAAAAGTCTATAATGCATTGTAACCTAAACCAAAGGGTCTCCAGGCCTGCCTGCAGCTGGAGCTGACAGCTGTGGGCACAGCTCTGTCACCCACAACCCTGGCCTGCTGTAATGTCTTGGATCCATAAACTGCATTTTGGACGGAATAAACTGCATTTTGGACGGAATAAACTGCATTTTGGACGGAATAAACTGCATTTTGGACGGAATAAACTGCATTTTGGACGGAATAAACTGCATTTTGAAGAGTCCCACACCCCTCATTTTGGCTCCCACACCAGACACCCCCCTGCAGGGAGCACTGAGGGCTGGCTACCTTCTCTGTGGTTGACCACAGCCAGGAAAGCCTCTCCCTGGATGACAAAGGCCTCCCAGTCGCGGGCGCTGTGCGTGCTGATCCTCTGGTACGCCAGGAACTTCGCCTTCCTGCGGCTCCACTTGAAAATCACTGAGAACTCCTGGCCCCTCTCGTTCTGCTCAAAATTCGCCACTGCCAGGAAGATCTGGAAAAGGAAAAGCCAGGATGGCTTGGGTTTCTCCTCTCAAAGCAGCATGGGCAAGGAAATGCAGGGGGAGGTGGGATGGAGGTGGCTGGTGGGGGATGAGATGGTCCTTGAGCTGTCCCTAAGCAACACAAAGTGGGGACAGGGACCCAGTGGCCTGTGGGGGTCTTTGTGCATGGCAGGGGCACAACTGGCAGCCAGCAGCTCCTAGAAAAGCAGTGGGAGAGCTGAACTGTCTGCACTCACACCCTCCAGCCCCAGGAAGGGGAAGCTTGGACATGAAATGCACCAGGGAAGGAGGGAGGTTCAGCTGACAAACCCCCCTGAAGGCAAAGGTGGTTCAGAACAAAAAAAGGCAGGTGTGATAATAATAACAATGACAATAATGATAACAATCCCCTGAGACAAAACATCTTCCAGACCAAGAAACCCAGCAGAGATGGCCAAGTGCAAGGCAGGGAGCACATCCAAGCTCTGTCATGCTGTGCCAGCCCAGTGTCCTTCAGATGGAAGGAGATTATGCAGAGATTATGCCCCAGTTTGGGCCACAAAGAGGCACAGGGCCACAGCCCACAAAGAAGAAAGAGTCAGTGGGGGTGTCTGCTGCCTCCTGGCCTGTACAGGACCAGGGCTTTGTTCAGCCACCCCCAAGGACAGGGCTGTGCTGGGCTGTCCCCCCACAAAAGGTGAATCCCCAGCTCTGCTCTCTCTGCAAGCACCAGTCCAGGGAGCCCCTTTGGAGCATCTCCAGAAACAGCTTCAGTGGGAAGAGAAAACCCTGGGGACAAAGCCAGAATGGGTCACAGCAAAGGGGGAACAATCCCAGCTTCCCTGGGAGCCCTGCACAGAGCTGGCTCTCAGCTGAAGGCTTTCCTGGGCTCCCCCAAAGTGCTGAGTAGTTTCCCAGGGAGAGAAACCAGGCAAATCCTCTGCTCAAGCCCCGGGGCAGATTGCCCAGGGGAGGAGAGGTAGCTCTGAATGCCTGGAATAATTTAAAAGCAAGAGAATTTAAAAATGCAACAGGTTGGACTCAGTGGGTCTCAAGAGGGAACTGCAGGCCGTGATGGCTCTTTAAGACCACAGGCAGAAGATCTCTGAGATGCAGAGACCTATATTCCCTAAACCACACCCAAGACTCCAGGCTTCAGAGAACCCAGTGTTGGGCAGCTGCAGTTTATACCTTCAGATTATACTTTATACCTTCAGTTTATACTTTACACCTTCATTTGTATACTGAAACATGGGAGCACCTTCCTGGCAGCCTCACCTTCTTCCCAATGGTGAAATACTTGCAGGACTGTGCCTGGTGTGTGGGGATGTTCTGGTAGTGCACAAACTTGCCGTCAGTCCACCTGTAGATGGCTGAGCCGGGGGGTGTCAGCCGGTTGGCCGTGGCTGCAAACAGCCCCAGCCTGGGGATGGTGAACACCTCAATGCCCATGGTCTCCGAGTTGGTCACCAGCTTCTGGTGCTCCTCCACGTAGTCCAGCCTGGGTTGGACTGGGAGCACACAAAGAGAGGGATGAGGTTAGAACCAGGTGGGTTTGAGCTGGAGAGGAGCCCCATGAGGGGGGCTTAGCGTGGGTATTTTTGCCCCCAACAAATGAGAGGAATGGTGAGGAGGACTCCATTGATATCAGAAGGCTAATGAATTACTTTATTATACTGTATTACTCCATTGATATCAGAAGGCTAATTAATTACTTTATTATACTGTATTATTCTGTACTATATTACATTACATCTAAACTGCAGCTGCCAAGCACTCAACTGCCCAGAATTGTAGCCATGATATTTTCTGCAAAATCCCTTTGCCAGGATTTTCTCTCCTGAGAAGCTGAGAGGCTCAGAGGAAAAGAAAAAAACAATAATTATCTGCTGCTGTGGAATGCAACAGGTGCATCTGGGATTGGTCTCCTGTGGTTGTTTCTAATTAATGGCCAATCACAGCCCAGCTGTCTCAGACTCTCTGGTCAGTCACAAGATTTTATTATCATTCCATTTCCTTTTCCTGTCAAGGCTTCTGATGAAATCCTTTCTTCTATTCTTTTAGTATAGTTTTAATATAATATATATAATAAAATAATAAATCAGCCTTCTGAAACATGGAGTCAGATCCTCATCTCTTCCCCTGTCCTGGGACCCCTGTGACACCACCACACAGAATCTGGTGACTGTCAGCCCACAGTCCCAACAAACACACCTGGATTCAATTGGTCAGTGAATCAAAACACCCACACCAGAATCCAATTAATTACCAATTCCCTTCAGGTAAACAATCTTCCACAATGCATTCCACTTGTGAACAACACAGGAGCAGTAAATGAGATGAGAATTGTTTTTTCTTCCTCTGAGGCTCAGAGGATGTGAAACCCAGAAATATTCCTGGCCAGAACTGTGCCTTGCTTTTCCCTGTGAAGAGAAATGTGGTGGCCCTGGCTCAGTGGCACCTGCTGCTGTGCAGAGCTCTGTGGGGCACATGAAGGTCCTGGTGCCGCTGGGGGTGAAGGGCCAAACCCAGGGGTAGGAAGAGGCTGAATGCAGCACATCCAGCCCCATCCAGCCCTGTTCTCCAGCAGAGAGCAGAGCTGTGTCCCTGGGAGCAGGGAAGAACCACATGCCACAGATTTTGATCACTTTGATGTATTTATCCTCTAGAGAACAAGGAGGAGATGACAGCAGGAGAGGTTAGGGGAGGCTAAGACAGAATTCATGTCAGAAATTGGAGCAGAAACCTCCAGAGTGGCCCTGATAGCAGACAGATGGGGACTGCAAGGGGCAGTGTTGGTGGCACCAAGGGGCACAGGTCAGTAAAACCCCACCATGAGCTCTCCTTGGAGAAACAAGGACACTGTGCCAATCCTGATGGCCTCCAGAGGTAGGGAAGGAAAGGGGGTCCCATCACTGCTGTGGGGAACCAATGGCTCATCCAAACCCACCCTGTGGGTATCAGCAGAAGAAATATGCTGGGAGAGGAGGGAAGGGAAGGACAGCTCAGTTAGGGACTTATCCCATCCTCCATGTCCTCTCCAGGGACCCTGGGAAGACAGCCTGGAGTGAGTGAGAGTGCCAGTGGAGGAAATCCATGTCATTATTGAAGAACACCCGTCCATCCCAGGCTCTGGTTGCCTTTCCCACCTTGGTACTCCCACTGATTTCCTTACCAGAGCCCAGATGACATTGAGACCTGTGTCTGCCACCCTCCCAATCACCCCCAGCATTTCTGGCAGCTTTGGGGTCTCTTTGTTTCCCCTTATCCACCCCACAAATGCTTCAGCACTGGGGCAGCACCCCAACACCCTGAGCATGGCTCTCCATGGGGTAAGCTGTCCTGCTCAGACAGGTCAGGAGCTCATCCAGCCCAGAAAATTCCCAGGAGGGACAGATAACATGGAGAAGGACAGAGGCACTTGAATCCAGGGGTGCTCTGGAAGCCTCATGGGCACTGAGAGCAAAGCAAAGCCAAGCCTGGCCAAGCAGAGCAGAGACGGGGCACAGCCCAACCCCTCACTGCTGCTGATTCCCATCCCAAAGGGGTCTGGAGGGCAAACTGTGGTATTCACATGCCCTCTGAACAGAGAGAAGCTGTGAGACAAGCAGAGAAGAAGGAAAACACAATTCTTATCACTTGCTGCGCCTGTGTTGTGCTAAAGTAGAATGCAATATGGAAATTGTTTACCCAAAGTGAGGATGTTTTGTTCCCATGGCCTATCAGGGCCAGGTGTGTGTGTGTGTGTCAGACTGTCATGGGAGAACCAGAGATGAGTGCAGTTCTGTGCAGCTCTGAGCAAGAGTGAGTGCATGGCAGATTCAGTTTAGATGAAATACACATAGTATAATAAAGTAATTCTTTGGCCTTCTGATGATGGAGTCAGATGCATCATTCTCTCTCCCCTTTGTCAGAGACACCTTTGATTTACAATAGCAAAGCTCAGCTCCTGCTCTGCTGCAAGGGTCTCCTTCCCTTCCCCAGAGCCTCCCCTGGTACCTTCCAGCATGGAGAGCCAGGTGCTGCCGTTGCAGAGGTAGAGCCCTCTCTGGGAGGCGTTGAACCAGAACTGAGCCTTCTCCTGCTTGGAGCAGCGGGGCCGGGCCCCCAGCGTCACCTTCATGTCAGTCTCTGGGCACGGAGAGCGTTATCGTTACATTGCAAGGGTTCCATATTGCTAGAGTTTTGTACCTCCTTGATGTTTCTTGCAGGCAGCTCCTCTGGGCACTCACTCTTCCTTGTCCTCACAGCAGCCAAGTGACTCCAATTCCCCCCTCACCCCACCAATCCACTCTTTTATAACACTCTTCTTGTTGGCTACAGCTGTGGCCTGTTAACATCAGGCCTGCTCCTAATCTCTAATAATTAACCCAGCTGCAACTCTTTAGGGGGTAAGATTATTTTCTATACCACCTTTATTTGCTTATGTTCTATCCCCCTACAGGAGAGGAGCCAGGCAGGAGCCTCTCAGTGCATGCAGTGCAGGAGCACAGAGGCAGGAGGGGGCGAACATCCTGCTCTCATCCTGATGATGGGCATGGGGGGAAAATGGAATCCCAGCACAGATCTGGGAAGCCACAGACTGGGAGAATCTGTGTGGGGCCACTGACACAAGTCCAGGGAGCCAGGCAGGGCCACCTTGCCTGTTCAGGGATATCTTGGACAGGGATCCCAACACACACACACACTGAGAGTGCTGGGAGCAGGAACACCCTCCTGCCCTCTGCTCCTGCTTCATTCCCAGCCCCTTCCTGCCAGAGGTGGAGGAGGCAGCAGAGCCTGCCATGGGGCACTGACCGTAGGGGTATTTGAGCACCTCGTTGCTCACTGCCTTCGCAGGCACATCCTGGAGGACACTGGGGACAGAGAGCGTTGCTACTTTGAAGTTCAAGCCGTGGCACATCCGGGGGGTGGCATCAGCTCCTGGCAGCAGGACAAGCTGTCTCAGCAAGCCCTGGGAAAGTGGGAGCAGAGGGATGGAGACCAAGTGCCACAGATCACAGGATGGGACCTGCAGGCAATCCATGCCTTGGGCTTCCTGCCTGCCTCCTGCTGCCCTCCCTGCTTGCATGCACAAGTGCCCAGGGGATTCGTGCACATCTGTCAGATCCCAGATGCACAGCTGGGGTGATCTAACAGCTGGAATAAGGGGAGCATTGGCACGGGGCTTGGAGCAGCTGCCCTGCAGTGCCCTCACATGGGAGGGACCCACAGGAGGGACTCTGCCTCCTGTGCCATGGCCCAAGCCCTGCCAGCACAGGGGACTGACTGTGGGTCACCCCAGAGCAGCCAGGAGCAGCCCTGAGCCCACTGGGCACCCTGGGGCAGCCCACAGCAGGGGCACCTACCGTGAACAGGCCTTTCCTCCTCCTCCTGTTGCCCAGGTAGAAGCTGGCTCTCCTCACGGACAGCGAGGCTGGAAATGGGGTCTCCACCACCCTGGGGACGGGCAGAGGAGATGTTTCACAGAAAGGGACAGTTTCAAAGCATCTATTGGTGGCCAGAGGAGATGTGGGTTAAATGGGAAAATAATCTAGGTGTCAGGTCTTAATTGGATAGTTTAGCCTTAAAAGACCTTGGAACAAGAGATTGCTGGCCATTTTGTGCCTTCTAATGAAAAGCTGCCCAACTCACAGTAATGAGATTGTTTTACTGATAATAAATAATAAAAAAATAATAAACACCTGAGTGTGAACACGAATTACTGTCTCAAGTCTTCAATCCAGACCCAGAAAAACCAATGACTGGTACTCCCAGAGTGGAACAACATCACCCTGCCCACCCCACTGAGCCCCCCAGTACTGCCCCAACCTACACATCCTTGGGGGTCTTAATTGGATAGTTTAGTCTTAGAAGACCTTGGAACAAGGGATTTTTGACCATTTTGTGCCTTCTAATGAGAAGCTGCCCAACTCACAGTAGTGAGACTGTTTTACTGATCAGAAACAATAAACACCTGAGTCCGAAGATGAATTACTGTCTCAAGCCTTCAATCCAGACCCAGAAAAACCCACAACTGGGACCTTCACAATGGAAGAACATCACCCTGCTCGCCCTGCCGAGCCCCCCAACCTACACATCCTTGGGGTTCTTCATTGGATAGTTTAGTCTTAGAAGACCTTGGAACAAGGGATTATTGACCATTTTATGCCTTATAACGAGAAGCTGCCCAACTCACAGTAGTGAGACTGTTTTACTGATCAGAAACAATAAACACCTGAGTGTGAACACGAATTACTGTCTCAAGTCTTCAATCCACAAAAACCCACAACTGGGACCCACAAAAACCCACAACTGGGACCCCCACAGTGGAAGAACATCACCCTGCCCACCCTGCCGAGCCCCCCAGCGCTTCCCCAACCTACACATCCTTGGGGACGCTGCAATCCACCGTCAGGGAGAAGGACTGTCCGGACACAGCCAGGACGAGCGTGTGCCAGCGGCTGTCGGACAGGGACACGTTGGGGAAGGTGACGCGGCTCTGCCATCCCCCGGCGCGCTCCTGGCTCCAGAAGAGGAAGTGCAGCTTGTCGGGGGCGTAGCGCAGCCCCACCAGCACGCCGGGGCTCTCCTCCCCCATCAGCGTGAAGATGTACTCGTTCCTCTGCGGGAGGGCACGGGCTGGCACCTGCGGGGCCGAGCCGAGCCGAGCCGTGCCCAGCCGTGCCCGCGCTCACCTGGGCGGCGCGGCGCAGCGCCCGCAGGGTGACGATGATGGAGAACTCCTCGGGGAAGCGGTCGCAGTGGATGAAGAGCCTCGAGGCGGGGAAGGCCAGCGCTCGGGGCCGCGATGCCGAGAGCTGCAATCCTCGCAGCCCCTGCGCCTGCAGGACCCGCATGCCCCGGGCCAGCCCCCCGGCCGGCACCGCCTCCGACAGCACGTCCAGAGGGCGCAGGTCTGTGCCGAGAGACAGCCCGGGGGGTTAGCCCCAGGTGGGATGTGCGGGAATTTATAAAATTAGAGGGTTTGGGGAAAGCTGCAAAAGGCAGGCTTTGGATAGCAGCAGAGCTGTGAGCAGAGCTAAAGCAACAGCCATGAGATAGGTCAGCAGAAAAAGTATTTAAACTGTGGAAAAAGCAAAGGCAAAGAAGAATAGCTTGTGTATTAATGCTTGTCTCAATAGCTTTCTAAGCTGCAGAAAGTTTATCTAGCAAGATATTAAGAAGGTTAAAACTTAATAATGGAGCTCTGTGCGTTGAGGCTTACAAGCAGGTATTGTATTGGAAATAAGCAAGCATTGTTTTAACCAAAAGCACGAGTGCTTATAGTGATTGATAGAACTACTGCCAATGTGCTTTTGCTTTGTGTGATTGGTTAAGAAGCTTATAAAGTAAGTTGTAACATTAAGTTTTTTGGCCTGCTGCCTAGATTGTGAGCTGCTGGCATCTTCCCATTGTCATAATCATGTAATGAGACTGATGCTGAAAAATAAACAGCTCGAAGCACTGTCCATAGCAGCCCCGCCTCGTTCGTGTCTGTAAATAGCCCCCAGCCGGTGTCAGGATGGGGTACCCGGCTCTGGCAGAGCAGCAGGATGGGCTGGTGTGCTGCAGGAGCATGCCAGTCCTTCAGCCCTTCCCTGGGGTCTGCCCCGAGCCCCTGCTCCAGGGCCAGAGGAGAGATTTGCCCTTCAGACACAAGGCTGGCATCTCCATCGCCACAGGGGAACAGCAGCAGTGCAGAACCGTTCACTGAGGCAGCTCTGAGTGCTGACACTGGAGCTGGAACCTGCCAGCCAGGCCCTCCCTCGGGATCCCCCGGCCCCAGCAGGCAGGGATGTGCTGTGACCCCTTTGGGATCAGTTCTGAAGGGGATTGGGGGAATTGTTCTCAGGGTGACATCCCCAGATCGCAGTTGCCCAAACCACACTGGGTTCCACAACCCTGGAGCACCTTCCCAGCACGGTGGGATGAGGCCTCCATCCTCAGCTGCTTCCAAGGCTGCCACAGAGCTGCTCTCAGGGCAGTGGGGACAGCTCCACCCCTCCGGTGCCGCTCGGGCTCTCCCAGCCCAGCCCTCATTGCACACATGCACTCTCCCAGCAGGCACCAAAACCACTCATTAGAAATAATTACCCTCTCCCCTGAGAAGAGAACGCCGTGCCCAGCCCCAGGGCATCGCCCCGGTGAGAGCACACAGCACAGCAGCGCCAGAAAGAGCCACCCCATGGAACAATGCCAGGTCCAGCGTCGTGGCAAAGGAAGGGCTGGAGCAGCTCTGGGGACTTCTCCTGGCCTTGGACCCTCCTGGTTTTATTTTGGAATGCTTTTCTGGCAGAGGAGGGAGATGGTGCCCGAGAGATGAAGCAGCTCTTGGCTGCACTAACCAGCCCTGATTCGGTCCCTCCCCGCTGAGACCTGGCTTTTAGCTCCAATTTGTACAAATAAATCCGGGCTGCCGGGGCACAGCAGGAGGGCTGGGAAGGAGGGAGCTGCGAGCAAGGCTGGGCTGTGTGTCTCAATCCAAACCAGCTGCAGAAGGGAAGTGCTTCCTCCAGACATGCCTGGCCAACACCAGCCTTGTTCCAGGTGGGCAGAGCCAGGAGGAATCTGCTCATGTGGCTCCATCCAGACCAGAGCAGGGACATGGGTGAGGTCCTCCCCACCCTGGCAGCTCTGTGTGCCCCCTGCCCACCTCACTGCTGGTTTAAGCTGTTCCTAAAGCAAAGCCCTGGTGGGGGGGGTTTAACTGGAACAGCTTATTTCAGAAATGCATCTCTCAGGCAATGGCCAGTTCCTGTTTTTCACAGCAAAAAGTACAAGCTGAGCTCAGGCTTGGATTTGCAGAGGGGTTTAGGAGCCCCCAGTTGCCCCTGAGATGCTGAGGATGAGCTGGGGGAGAGCTCAGTTGTGGGCCAGGAAGGGGCCAAGTCCTGAAACCAAACCCAAATCCCTAACTCCAAAGGTGTGCCACTGCTAGGGCTGGCAGGGCAGCTGGGGTGCTCCAGCCCAGCTTGGGCAGCACAGGGGAGGCCAGGGGGCCTCGTGCTGGGGTCCCCAGGATGATGCTGGGGCCTCAGCACCCCCAGGATCCCCCCAGCCAAGGCTGCTTGGGGACAGCAGGGACATTCCCAGAGAGACTGGAGCCCCTCAGGGAGGAGGCAGAAACTCTCCAATCCCTCCCTGTTTTTCTTCTCACATCACCTGGGCTGGAACAAAAAGCAAACACAATTGCCATCAAACTGGGACAAGCCCTCAGCAGCCCCAAAAACGGAGCTCAGGCTTCGCTGCCTGCAGAGCACAGGGGTGGGGAGGGGATGGCAGAGCCGGGGCACCGGGACCCTCCTGGGCTCGGGAATGGCACCGGGGACGGCGGCACGGGAACTTGGGCTGCCGGGAGGGTGGGGATTGTGCCTGTCAGAGCACAGAGGAGTCCGGGCAGGAGGGACTTTCCAGGGCGACTTCATGGCTTTTTCCAGTCCTTCCCCTGCCCTGTGCCTCCAGCAGAACCCGGGACCAGCCCTGTGCAGCAGGGACAGGCACAGCTCTGCCCGCAGCTCCCAGAGGGCTGGGGGCTCCCCTGGTGGCCCTGCCGGGGCTGCAGGCACGGCAATGACCCCACACCCTGCCACCATCCATGGTGCTGGCGTGCAGCCCTGAGGCATCACTGAGCACCCAAACACCAGGGCTGGGCTGCCAGGAGAGGCTGACCCAAAACAGAGCACATCTTCTGGGCTTTGCCCCCCAAAACAGAGCACATCTTCTGGGCTTTGCCCCCCAAAACAGAGCACATCTTCTGGGCTTTGCCCCACAAATCAAAGTACACCCTCTGGGCTTTGCCCCCAAATCAGAGCAGACCTTCTGGGCTTTGCCCCCCAATCAGAGCTCACCTCCTGGGCTTTGCCCCCAAAACAGAGCTCACCTCCTGGGCTTTGCTCCCAAAACAGAGCTCACCTCCTGGGCTTTGCCCCCCAGAGCAGAGCAAACCTTCTGGGCTTTGCCCCCCAAATCAGAGCTCACCTTCTGGGCTTTGCCCCCCAAAACAGAGCACATCTTCTGGGCTTTGCCCCCCAAATCAGAGCTCACCTCCTGGGCCTTGTCCCGGCAGCGTGGGGAGCAGCCCAGCGCTGGGAGCAGCCCGGTCCCGGCAGGTGAGCGCACCTGGCCCCGGTGCAGCATCCCCCGCGCTCGGCCCCTACCTGTGCAGTGCTGCCAGGTCCTGCCCGCCCGGATGAAGCCCCCGCCGCTGGCCCAGCGCAGCAGAACCACCCAGAGCAGCAGTGGCGCCGACATCGGGGCCCGCCCGAGGGGGGTCCATGCACCGGGACCCCCCCGTGCCCGCTCCCGGCCCGGCTCAGCGCCCCGGGGGCTCCGGCATGCGGGACCCCCGGGTCAGCCCCGGCGGCTGCAGCCCCGCTCTGTGCCCGTGCCCTGCCCGGGCATCGCCCCCGGGGCACGGCCGCAGAGGCAGTGCCGGCTGCAGCCTGCACACAGACATTTAAATGAGAGGTCGGTGGTGGGAGAGGAGGAGTCCCGGCTCCTCCGAGAGCTTTTATCTTTTGCCCAACCCTCTGGAAGGCGGCTTTGGGGAGGGATTTTTTAATCTTTTTTTTTTTTTTTTTTTTTGCTTGCTTTCTTTGCTTCCTTTAATTTTTGGTGATTCATTTTTCTGGGCTCACGTGGGAGTAGGTGAGAGATTCACCCCTGCCTGGAGAGAACCGGGTGGGAACCCTCCTGCCCCTAAAATGCATTGGTTTTCAGCTTGGATTGGATGAGAGACCCTCTGGACCACTCCACTGTGGCCAGATCCCCAAAACCGTGTATTTTTCCCTCAGAATTGTCCCAGGCAGGTGATGCACATCCCCCAGGCAAGGCTCCCTCCCAAGGGCCAGCCACCAGACCCAGCCCTGCCACCAAAGTGCCACCGACTGAGAAACCCTCCAGGTTCTGCTGCTGCAAGGGAAGCACCAGCAGTGGGAAAGCTCCCTGCACACAGTGAGCTCTGCTGGGCTCCACCATTCCCCAAACAATTGGAACAGGCTCCCACCCCCTCGTCCCCACAGCCTCCCTGCGAGGCGAGCACTGGAATGGGAAGCGGATTTTTGGCGAGGACCAAACGCCAAAAACTGTGTCGCAAACTGGGGGTTTTGTCAGCGAGGAAGAGCCAGAGCCGGACCCACAGCCCTGTTTGCTGTCAGTCTGTCCTCACCCCAAAGTGCTGGGGCTGAGAGTGCAGCCCAAGGAGTGCAGCACCGTGCCCACACCTCGGTCCCACAGCCCAACAGGAGCTGTGCTGAGCCCCATGAAGCACAAGAATGTTGGTGCCTCTGTCTCAGAGCTGGAGATGGCTGTGTGTCTGTCCGACAGCCCTGGCAGGGCTGCCTGGAGCTTCCCCCTCCTAACAGCCTCCCTTGGGCCATCCCCCAAATTTGGGTTCTACCAGGATTGTGCTTAAACAGAGCTTGACCTCTCTGCAAGAGACAAAACACTGCTGTCTCCTCATCCTCATCCTCATGCTAGGGATGGTGTCCAGTGGCACAGACATAATCAAACCTGGGGGTCCCAAAAGGTAGGTGGGGGTCCTGAATGGCTCCTGGGAGTTCCAAATGGCACCTGGGGGTCCTGAATGGCTCCTGGGAGTTCCAAATGGCACCTGGGAGTTCCAAATGGCACCTGGGGGCCCTGAATGGCACCTGGGAGTTCCAAATGGCACCTGGGAGTTCCAAATGGCAGCTGGGGGCCCTGAATGGCAGCTGCTGGAGGTGAACACAAGGCATGCAGGAGGACAAACCATCCCATCTCCCCTGACAGGCACAGTTCCTCACAGCCCTGAGAGCACCCACCAGGGCTGGGACTGGGAGCAGTCACCCCACTGGAACCCCAGGCCATCTCCAGGATGGATTTGGTGTTCCAAGCATGTCTGGCAGAGAGGTTTGCACTGGAGGGAAGGCTGCTGTCAGGTTGGAGCTGGGGAAGGCATCACAAACAAGAATCAGAGCCACCACAGTTCCCAGGGCTGCACACATGTGTCAAGTTAAGCGTGGCTTTGGGAGCTGGCAGAACTGCCCTGAGCAAGGGAAGGATTTGGGGAAGGCTCCTGCTGAGGCTCTGCAAGGGTCCAGGGAGGGAGGGAGGGAAAGTCCTGGCAGAGATTCTGAGTCCATTGGTTTTCCAAAGGGGATGCAGCTACCTTTCAGTGCTTTCTTGGCCAAAAAACCCAGTCAGTGGGGACATCCTCAGTGCCAAGGACATGCTGTGAGACACAGGGAGACCTGTGGATTTCCAGGCAAGAGGTGGAGGGACTGAAGCCCCCCAGTGATGAGCACAGAGGACGTGGTGGGCTCAGGCTGCCCACGTTAATGAACAGTCTCCAGGTGAGGACAGGGACATTGAAGGTCCTGAAGGGTTTTCCCCCTCCCTGGGCTGGGATGCTGGCGTGGCAGGAGAGGTGGAGTGGCTTGGCCAGGGCCTGGAGCTTTGCTGGAGTTGTGATGTGAAGTAAGGACAGGGACACATCGCTCCCCTCTGTCACATTGGGTCCAGGACCTGCTCCGTGTCCCCAGGACAGTAGGAAGTGGTCTGCAAAATAGCTCCTAAGCACACAGGCACACATTCCTGTGTGCAGAAACAAGCACGAGGGGATGAAATAAAAGAGACAAACAGCGAGACGTTTGCCTAATTCTCATGGGGCGTAAATAAAACCATGTGGTGGCTCCGCAGAACAAAATGATCCTTGGATTTTCACCAGAAAGGTTTGGCCCTCCCTGGGTTAGGAAAGGTTGAGAAAGCCATCAAAGCAAGCAGAGCTTTCCTGCAGGGGACAGAGTGAGGAGGGCACCTCGCCGACGCCAGGGGCCGGCCGGACCCTGCACACGGGGAACGTTCCTGCTCGTCCAAGGCTGTAACTCATTCCTTATTATTTGCAGACACAAAGCCGTGTTTCAGGGCTTCATGCCTTATTCATTTCAGTCTTTATTCCTGACATCTGTATATAATCAGAGGATCCTTTAGGTTGGAAAAGACCTCTCTAAGTCTGTCAAGTATTTTTCCCTGAAACGCAGCGCAGGCATCAGCAAGGGCAAAGCTTTGAGGGACCCCATAAGTAACTGATGGACAAATGCCCACCCCATGGTGTCCCCAACTTTTGTCTGCTCTGCTGTCTGCATCATCAGAGCCTGCCACACTCACATGCACGGGGAGAGAGCTGGAGGTCAGTGATGAGCACGTGGAGCTGGTCTCACCTGTGTGAGCAGCACGATGGACATCAGCCCTTAGGGATCAGCTATGAATGGGATGGGGGGAATTGTTCTCAGGGTGACATCCCAGATCGCAGTTCCCCAAACCACACTGGGTTCAACAACTGGAACACCTTCCCCACCATGGTGGAATGAGGCCTCCATCCTCAGCCACTTCCAAGGCTCCTCCCTTGTCACCTCTGCCCTTTCTCCCAGGCTGAAAATCTTCCCTGGAGCAACTTGAGCTCCCTGAGTCCAACCCAGCACCATAAGCAGTTCCGGCGAGAGATCCCCACCCCAGGGAACCTGTCAGCGTTGTACAGAAGCGCAAACGTCTTTAACCCCAACGCCTTTCAAAAGCTGAATTCCCAGAAGTTTTGGAGAGGTTCTGCCAGGAAAAGTTTTGTGAAAGACTGGGAGGATTGCAAAAGGCACCGTTTTTAGGAAAACCACCGAAAAAAAAAAAGCACAAAGCCGCCCCAACACAGCAAGTCCTTCTGCCAGCTTCCCAGCATGGAGCTGCCTTCGGGAGCAATCCCTGCCAGCCACCAGCATCGTGTCCCAGAGCCCTCCCTGGCCCCACACCCACTGCCAGCCCCAGGGAAGGAAGGAGCTGGGAGCCCCCAGCCTGCTTTGGCCATGGGTTGCAGCCCATGTGCCTGTCCAGGCAGCCAGGAGGAAGCTGAGCATCCTGCCCTGCATTTGGAGGACACATGGCAGCTGAGCTGGCAGGCTCTGAAAGGGCTCCAGAAAGCAGACACTTAACTTTCACCAGTACAAGGGAAGACAGGCTTTGAGACCAGGCTTTGAGACCACGCTTTGAGACCACGCTTTGAGACCACGCTTTGAGACCACGCTTCCACACTGGAGTTGTTTCAGATGGGGCTGTGCAGCCCCCACAGCTGCATCTCCCCTCATTTCGCCCTGCATGTGACCAACAGCTCTTCACTACTGCCTGTCCCTTGTTGATGTAGTTGTTTTAATTTTTGTCACCTTCCCCCAGTGTGCCCAAACTTGTTGAAGAGGCTGAGCCACCTCCCCACAGCCACAGGATCCCCAGACTCACCACTTTGGATGGACAGCATCCAACCCAGGCAAACATGAGCACACCAACTGTGGGAACAGTGCTCTGGGTATTTTCTGTACATTTCAGAGGCAAAAGAGCAGGACAGGGGCTTACAGCTCACTGGGTGGTGGTGCAAGAGATCCAGGAGCTCTGCCTGGACCCCCTGCTCCACCTGCAGTGGGAAAATTCTGCTTGGCTTGGAGCTCAGCTGAGATCTCTCCACAAAGGGAATAAACAGAATTCAGAGGCCAAGGGGAAGGAGGCAACACTCATGTTCCTTGCTCACTGCCTGTGCTTTAATCTCCTTCAGCAATGACTCTTGTCCCAACACCTGGGGTTGTGCAGAGCACTGGGTTTTGGAAACACCTGAGCTTTCCTCCCTGCATCAGGATCAGCAGCTCACCAGGCTGAGCATGCACTCCCAGGGGAGTGTGTGAGTGGGGAGCTGCCAGCCTGGCCAAACAAACCCCACGCCAAGTGCTCTGTGCTGACTGTTGCCCAGAGATGTTGTGGGCTCTCCATCCCTGAAAATGCTCAAGGCCAGGCTGGATGGGGATTGGAGCAACCTGGGCTGGTGGAAGGTGGATTGGAGCGAGATGAGCTTTAATATCTCTCCCAACACAAACCACTCAGGGATCCTGATGCTGTGATCTCTCTCTGTAGGCTGCCTTGGAGTAACACCTGAGCCCCAGGGCTGGCTCTGGCATGGGGAATCTCCCTTGGCAGTGCAGGGGGAAGCCCTCCCCCGCCTCTGCTTGCAGCCCTTTGATCTGGGCAGTGACCACAGCACCAGCTCTCAGCAGGCAGATGGCTGTCAGCAGCACAGGCAGCCACAGCAAGGAAACCCAGGGATTTTCCCCACGTGCTCGGGCCCACTGAGGGCTGGCAGGGATAGAAAACGGGAAGCACAGTGCTGAAATGATCCCATGGCTGCCAGGTTAGGGACAGTCAGCAACTTCTGTGCCACAAACCCACCTCAGACTGCCTGCCCC